TCTGTTCCTCCCTCCCCCGATGACACAGTGCATTTTGATTTAGATGGTGGCCTTGCCCTGGTTATCTCTTAGGTTCTTGACAGAAACTAATTAGGGATGAGGCTGGAAAAGGGCGACTTGTCCATTTGAGTTCATCATCAGGAAAGAAGTAATTGAAATTTGAGATTTTGTATAGCACACAAAACACACTGAGCTAAAAAACCACAAGTGCAACCAGTTTGCAAAGCAAAATGCCAAGTGGAAGAAAAAACTAAAATTTACTGTTCTCAGATGAGGAATTGGGTACCCTCTATAAGCACCCTCGAGAGTTTACCCCAGGGGAAGGCATGCTCAGTGTTGGCACTTCTCTTGTTTCTGTCCCCTCAACCCTTACAGTTCCAGACCCTTAAACTCTAGGTGAAGAGTGTGGGGTACCCCATCAGTGATGGAGAAGGTACCTAGAAAATCATTCGTCTATTTCTAATAAATGCATCCAATGATCATTTTGTTTGTTTTGTTTTATGGGACAGTGAAGCTGGATTTTGGATTTTTTTTTTCCAGTACTGGGAATGGAACCCAGGGCATCTCACATGGTAAATATGTGCTGTACTTCTGATTTACATACCCAGACTTGTAAAATTTTATTTTGAGACAGGGTCTGGCTAAATTGCTTAGGTTGGCCTTGAACTTGTGATACTCTGGCCTCAGCCCCCAGAACAGCTGGGAATATAAGTGTGCCCAGTTGGATTTGGGGCATTTGAGCCAACTTTACCAATTCAATTATTAATTCAGTTCAGCAAGTGTTCACTGGGCTCCTTCTCTGAGCTATGCATTAACTAAGACATGGTGTGACCCTGCCTTCTTGGGGGACAGGTACACAGTGACATACCTTACGGTGTGATGCATTGAGCAAGAGTCTGGAGTATTTCCTGGGTGAGACGGAATAAGGATGATTCACCATGTGCCAGTAGAGGAGAAGGCGGGATAACCCAGGCAGAAAGACAAGTGGCAGCCTGGTGCGTCCTTACCATGGAGCCGAGGAAGCGCTTGGTCTTGGGAATTCAGAGTTCATCCTACAGGTCAGAGTAGGCAGGCCTGGCTGCTCTTGGAAATCACCTGGGGAACTGAAAAACATCAATGCCCGAGCCCACATTGCATCCTTTGCAAAGATAGAGCCAGGGCACTAGTATTAAAAAAAAAAAACGTCCCAGGATTGAGAATCACAGCTCTAAATAAGAAGTTGAAAAATTTTCTCTAAAGGATCAAATAGTAAAGATTTTCAGTTCTGTGGGCCAGATATCCTCTGGGGCAACTACTTAAGCCTGCTGTTCTGTCCGTGTGAATACAAAAGCCCTGAAGATAGGAAAACAAATGACTGTGGCTGTGTGCCACAGAGCCTACTGACAAAAGGTGGGGTGTGCTCTACCAAGCCCCGCTCTAGACAATGGGGAGCGATTGAAGTTTAAAAAAATGAACTAATTTGAAATTGCATTTATATTTTATGACATATAAGTAATAAATGAATCTACCCACACTGTAAAGGAATCTAAACAATACAAAGCCCAAGGTGTTTTTTGTTTGTTTGTTTTTTAATTCTGTCATTCAAATACCAGACCCCTTCCTGGATAACAAAGTGTTACAATGGTGTATGTTTTTCTAGAACTTCCAAGAACCTTCTTCTTGCTTTTTTTTTTTTAAAAATATATACATCTAATAGAAAGATGAGTTTGTTTAGTATATTTATAGTTTGTCTTTTTCTTTTTTTTCCCTATACTGGGGATTGAGCCCACAGGTGCTCTATCACTGAGTTACACCCCAGTCCTTTTTATTTTTCATTTTGAGACAGGGTCTTGCTAAGTTTCTTAGGGCCTCACTAAGTTGCAGAGGCTAGCCTTGAACTTGTGATCCTTCTGTCTCAGACTTCTGAGTAGCCAGGATTGCAGATGTTCTTGAACTATCTTTTCCCCCACATAATAATATGTTTATCTATTTTTTTTGTTGTTGTTTTTGCATGGTATTGTGAAACACGAAAGTCCTACTGCTCATTGAATTATTTCCTGAGTGGGAGAACTATTTGAAACTGCCAACACTAAGCTAGTTTTGTCCTATAAGATGGTGCTTTCACTTGGTTCAATCTACTGTTCTGAATCCTATTTTTATGGCCATTACAAGCATTATCACCACAAGCATCTTGCAATGCGTGCTCACATATTTCCCTGGGCAGATTCTAAGACATTGAACTTCTGGTCACTGGGCACATCAGTTAGGAAGGAATCTTGGGTTAAACTCCAGGTACCAACTCTGGTAAACTTCAACATAAAGAGCAGCTATTGGCAGGCTGTGGGGCAGCTCATGAGATGGAGAGGAAGGACAAAAGCCTGGCCTTTGGACCCGTCAGGACCAAACAGTCTCAATGGCAGTGTCCACTCCACAGCCTCTCAGCGGGGCACTGGTGGGTGGATGGTGGCCATATTTGGTTTGTTCCTTGTTTTACTCCGTCCAAATCTTGGGAAACAGTAAACCTCGTGTCACCATGAGGGGGAGGGAGAAATAATTGGGTTATAGCCTTACCCTAATCAGTGAATTAATCCCCATGGGATTAACCGAGTGGTAACAGGAGACAGGTTATGGCTGGAGGAAGTGGTTCATTGGAGGCGTGACTATGGGGTATATATTTTGTATCTGGAGATGGAGTCTATCTCTGTTTCCTGATCATCATGTGAGCCGCTTCCCTCCGCCATACTCTCCGCCATGATGTTCAGTCTCACCTGGAGCCCTGGAGAATGGAGTCTGCTGTCTATGGATTGAGACCTCTGAAACCGTGAGCCCCTAAATAAACTTTTCCTCCTATACAGCTGTTCTGGTCGGGTTTCTCAGTTACAGCAGCAAAAAAAGTGACTAAAACACCCTGTCTCAAAATAAAAAATAAAAAGGGCTGAGGATGTGGCTCGGTGGTTAAGTGCCCCTGGGCTCAATCCCTGGTACACAAAACACACACACACACACACACACAAAGATAAAATAAAAAATAAAAGAGGGGAAGGACATGGTTCATCATTTTTATTCAGTTTTAGCCTAAAAAATGACTGCTGGCTACAAATGGCCAAGGGGATTTTTTTTTTTTTTTGGCCCAATAATGGCCAGGAGGTTTTCAAAATAGCATAGCACTTTTTTGAAAAAAGCATACATGTAAACAAAATGCAGTTATCTCAACTTGATATCAAAATTAAAATCCATTAAGTCCCACATTTTCAGGTGTGTGGATGTTTCAACAAATTTGACACAGGCATGTTAAAATAGGTTGGAAATCATGCTGTAGAACTTATGCATTAATATAATCATATTCTTCTTATATTATTATTATGTTACAGTTTACATGATTATATTATGTATTGATACTATATTTAATATCAATATTTAAGATTTTATGGGTGTACAACACAAGGGACCATGGGACAAAATGGGTTAAACCTCAGGAGCTCAGTCGTGGTTGTGAGGAGAAAGACAGCCGTGTGAGAGTAGCTCGGTAATTTGAGGAGCTATATTTGGGGTTTTCTCTCTGCTCACTCTAAGGAATATCATTATTTTTAGTTATGTACAAGAAGTTATCTTCCAAACTGACAAGTAAAAATAGGGTCTTTTTGTCTATTTTAGAGGGTTCAGGTTAAACTGGGTTAAACACCCACCTCCAGTCTTGACCAGTTAGTTTGAACACATAGCTCTGATTTTTGCTATCTCTTAAAAAAAAAGGTAGATTTACAATATAAAAGAAAACAATAAAAATTGAAGGAAAAAGAAAAACCACTAAGAGGCACGTTTACATGATGTACACATTGCCTATCACCTCTGGGCCTCAGTTTTCCTACCTGCCCCACTGCTTACTAGTAATGTGACCTTGGGTGAGGGACTTGACTTCCCTCAGTGTCCACATCTGAAAAATGGGGATTACAATGGTTACTTCTCTTGTTATCTCCCAGGGTCAAGGGAGAGAGTGTACAGAAGGTGCTCAAAGCTGTGCCTGACACATTCCAGCTTCATGTTGGTTGTTGCGCCCACAGTGTGATAGATTCGGCTGTTACTTAGGGTCTGAGTATGTGTGTATACATGTTTGTGTGTGAGTGTCTGCACAGGTGCAAGGAATTGACCACCATGTGTTTGCATAGGTGGGGCCATTTATGTGTCCATCACCTGAAGAATAGCTAAATCAAATTTAGTGATGGATTACTATACATCAATTAGAAACCCTGCACTAGATATGCATAAAATACTAAAAATGAAGCACTGAGCAACATGTGTATAAACAGAAGGATATTGGAACACACAACTGTTCATGTAAGTGGCAAACGCACATATACAAAACAAGAACACCTATAAATGAGAGGATACGCTTCAAACATAAGGCATCAAACAAAAACTTCCAACATAGGGGAAATTGGGGACGGGAAAGGAGTAGATGAAGAAATATGAAAGGACATAAATTTTTTAAATGAAAGAAAAAAAATCACCCAAGCAAAAGAGGACCTCTGCAAGACGAGGGCTGAGAATGGCATTGACTGTGCAGCTTGATCCCTCGTCCCTTCTGCTCTAAGGTTCAAAAAAAAAAAATTAGCTCTCTCCAAAAATAAGATCCCACAAAATCAGACACATAGATTTATTTATTTGTTTTAAGACATGAGTATTCTCTCATGAGTATGTGAGTGGAGAAAGAAAAGCTACCAGATTGTAGTTACATTTTTTTCATTCCTCAGAAAGCATTTATTAAAGAGTTTGATTTCTTTTCTTTTCTTTCTTTCTTTTTTTAAAATCTTTTCGGCAACTGCTGACAGGTCCTGTAATGGCAAGAGTACGCACTTCACCATTCTGTCCTGGTGATGAGCGAGGCTGTGTGAATCTGTCTCTCCTCCTTTTTTGGTCAAACAAGTGTGTGATAGGTTTGGAAGGTGAAGCCAAGTTCCTATAAATTCATTTGAAAGTGACATAAGGATGCTAATTTTGCAAACCTTTTCTGCTTTGAAATTCAGTGTATGACTCTGTGGGGAAGCTTGGGAGCAACGTTCTTAATGGAAACGTGGACAGGCTGGGATCATACAGTGAGTGCCTCTCCGCCCGGGGCCCAGCAGGGAGCTTCCAAGGGCAGTACTGCAAGCTTTATGTACAGCAGGTGAGTGTTGGGGACTGCTTGCTCTTGAAGGTCAAGTGAGTATAAAGATACAGAACACAATACAACTCTACGGATTGCTTTTCTTAATTAAAAACATCAAAAATTATTGCCATGTTTTGCAAAAAAATCAAAACTATTTAAATAGTTGCTCAGCTTCTTCTGAGTGTGGGGAATTATTTGAGGCACTTATCCCCAAACCACATGGATCTTGACATATTCCTCCTACCACATGGTGTGGGGCAAGACCTCTGGAGGGCCTTCATAGGGAATTCAAGTTCAAGTCCTGGCCAGCACCTTCGATAGCAAGATCCTGTACATGTTCTTTGGGTTTGTTGGATGTTCTTTATAAGCTCAGTCTTCTATTCTTGGGGTTCTTAGGGCTTTCACCATTCTCCCCATGTCCCTTCTCGACATCCTTACTCTCAAAGATATGACACTGCTTGGTATGGTGTGTATCAAATCAAGGAGCTTGGAACACAGTTCTAAGCACTAGCTCCTGAATCCCCATCAATTTTTGGAATACCAGAGGAGGATAGACTTTCCTTTACCTATAACCCTTTTTTCCAGAAACATAGCTCTAAACACCAATTTGAGGTTATCCTAGCAGATGGGTCTTGACTTTATGAATACATTGCTAAATCAGTTGACCAATGATGTGGGGCTCACTGTCTTCAAAGTATGTTAATCCTTTTACAGCTCAGGGGAAAAACCCTAGGAATAGCACAGCCTTTTATTAACTAGAGGATAGGTTTTTATACTTGTCACACAAGACTAAAAGAAACATTACTAGTTGGCTAAAACCCGTTATCTGAAATAACAATAAGAAATGCAAGCTCTCTGACATTAAAGCTTATGAAATGCTTGCAGTGGTTAACCATGGAGACAGGGATATTATCAGTCAGCCTCATTTGTCTTGCTGAGGATTGGGATAATGATTGCTTGAGACTTTAATCAGTGTGTACAAACGTCATTTTCAAAGCAGATTAATGGTTTTGATATCACAGCAAAAAGGTCAGGCCTAATCAGGAATGTTATACATTTAGAAGAAGCATTCCAGAATTTACTTATAATTTGATCTTCTCTTTATTGGGACAGACATTCTAATTATCAGATTGATTGATTAATGAAATCTTTACTAGATTCTTGTGTCCTGTTACCCTGAAATGGCAACTTATCAATTGTGTTGAAAATGATAGGGGAATCAGCACTTAATGACTTCTAATCTGGAGGAGAGATTCATTGGGTCAGATTATCCAAAACCCGTCGGTGGCTGCTTCTTAAATAATCGGCTCCATTAAATCTGGAGATACATTTTAATTTAAATATATGTGCATCTGATGATGTAGACATTCACTGGAATCGCTCTGTGATGGAAAATCCATGTCTTAAGTGAGAAAACTTTCTCCTTCCAACACCCTTCTATCCTTCTTCCAATCTGCTGAATTTATGGGTGGTGTGTGGTGGCAGCATTACTTGGAAATGATCATGCATACATGCTGCGAACACTAAAATTAAAGAGCTTTGTGTCGTTTGTTTCTCAGGATGGAGCCGATTATAGTGTGGGCATATGTGTCCCTGATTCCTGTGCTGAAGAGGATGTGACGACGATGTCTCGGCTGGGTAGGTACAAGAGGAACTATTATTTCAGTATCAAGTTTGAACATCCCCAACTCCTTAGAGGCAAGACGGGTGGTTCCCAGGGAGTGAGCCAACCTTCCAGCCCAATCAATCCTCTCAACTGAGAGAAAAGAGTTGAGGGCTGGGAGCAGAAGTGAATGTCATGGAGTAGGCAGGAGGCAAAGAGAAAGAAGAGGAGGAGACAAGAGCTGAACATTCACGTAATAACAATGTGGAGTTAAACCGTCTTCCTTCACACCGCTGCCTCTCAGGCCTGAGATAGGAGGTGGGTGGCCTTGGGTTTCACGGTGTGTGCACTCTGCTCGGGCGCATGTGTTTGGCACCTGCTTCATCAGAAGGTGCTCCTGAACCAGGACTGGGGAGGCCGGAGCATTGCGGTGTTAAGAGCCCAGCATTTGGTCCTGGTTGTCACCTCCCAGCTTCGTGATCCTGGGCAAATCACTCAATCTCCACAGGCTCAGTCTCTTCCTCTATGCAGCAAGTGGGCGGGCTCTCAGGTTCACCTGGCTCTAGCTTTCTGTGGCTTTATGACCACTCCTGACCTTGGCTATGGAGAAAGAATAAATTTTAGCTTCTGTATGGAAATTGGCTTGACTTCCTTTAAGTCTTTCAGATTTTTCCGAGCAAGAGCTTGAAAGCCTAAATTCTTTTTCCACTCATGTCTTTTGTATTGATTGTGGTCATCTAAGAGAGAACTAATGGGACAATTATTAAGAGTTCTCCTTTAAAACGTTGATATGGCAGCTAAGTTTTTGAAAACCTAACTTGTCCTCTGACTAATAATGATCACTGCAGCTTTGGGTTCACTGTCTATCTAGCCTAATAATTCATTTTTTTTTAAATAAACAAGAGCTGGTAAGTGTAGTTTAGTGGTAAAGTTCTTGCCTAGAACATGTGAGGCCCTGGATTTGGTCCCCAGAGTCATCAGAAAAACAAACTCCAAAAGCCTCAATTTGTTAAGAATCAAATTCAATTCTTATTGGATAAGCCATAAGTATCCTAGAAACAAAGATGCATTAGAAAGTCTTGTAAAATTGGCATTTCATGTGAGCGAGTGACTCCCTAAGTCTAATGAGTAAATCATGTTTCTTATTAAAGAGATTTAATTTTTTCTGGCTCATGTTAAGCTTACCTGCCAGAGTCGCCTTTGGAATAAAATGAAACATTTGGAAAACTGCTATCAATAAAAAAGATATTTTGAGAAATTCACACTCTGAGAAAGATGAGAAGGTCCTCTTTGATGAACTGGAAGGCCCTGGTTTGGGTGAGCAGAGCCGACACGGGGATTAGTGGGTATTAGTGGAAGTTAGTCTTTGGGGTTAAGGCCTTTCTCCCGCTTTGGCACAGAGGCCAGGGTAGGAATGAGAGCATCTCTGCCCCGGGGAAGGTCCCTATCCGGAAGGGATTTGTCAGGTATGCCTTGAAGGTTTTTGATGGAGCTGCCAAGGTTCCCTCTATAGATGTGGGGACAATCAGCTTAGCAAGGCCCAGCTGAGGGGCCACTGTAGGAGAAAGGCCAAGTGAAGATGACCACAGTGTTACTGGGATCGAGACGCAGGGCAGGCGGAAAGGACAGCTGTGGCCACAGGCTGGGATAAAGCGGTTGTAAAATTTTACCCAACAGACTGTGAGCTCTTGAGAATGAGCTATCTTGAGGATGATCCTATTTCCAAATAAGGTTACATTCCCAGAGACCAGGGATTAGGGCTTGAACCTTTTGGGTTTATTTTATTTTTATTTTTTGGTACTAGGGATTGAGCCCAGAGGTGTTTTACCACTGAGCCACATCCCCAACCCTTTTTATTTTTTAAGACAGAATCTCACTAAGTGGCTGAGGGCCTTTCTAATTTGCTCAGGCTGATCTCCAACTTTTGATCCTCCTGTATTAGCCTCCAGAGTTGCTGGAACTACCGGTGTGTGCCACCACACCCAAGTCTGGACTCACCTTTTTGAAGAGACTTAATTTAACCTAGAACACTACCTAACATGGACTTGTTGGACTGGTTCCATTATCTGAGTTCCCTTAAGTGCAACAGGGCATTGGTCATGTGGTGTAGGACTCCTAGTCCTCTTAGCCCAGGGCGCTGCACTCAGAACGCTTGCAAACATTGGACAAAGCCTACTGAAGTGCAATGTGAAGCCAGCCACTTTACCTGTCGTGCGGACAGCACAAGAGCTAAAACAGAAGAGCCTTGTTCTAAGGGTCTGTTTAGCACCGAGTCAACAAATTCCAGAGGCAACACCAGAGGGCTACAGATTTCTACTCTCAGGGGTTTGCTAGGAGTCTGTCTGGTCGGAAATTTTATATCATTTTATGATGATCACACTGTTCTGCAGAGACCAAAAGCACTGAGTTCTTAGTGGCTTGGAATCAGTGCTTAAGACTTCTATTTTCTGCACCTTATTAAGCCAATTTCATCTTGCTTTGCCTATTATGATTAGAATTAGTAGACCAACCAGCACTTTGCAGAATGGATACCCCGTTGCTGACTGAGAAACTGGATATGTAGCAACTCCTTAAATTATCCCCAGAAGTGCCTTTCTGGTGAGGAATTCAAAAGGAATCTAAAATACTTCACAGAATGTCATCTTCTGTTCTTAGTTTAATCCAGAAAGTATTTCTTGAGCAATTTCATAGCTGGCCTTATGAGATGTCGCACGCGTGTGCTGGGGGTACCAAATCAACTCAGTGTTACTCATTTTGGGAAACCTGCAAGTTAGCCAGGAACATATGTGGACCTGAGCTATTAGGAGACATTATTAAGAAATGAATGTTGATCCTACACTGAGTGCTCGGGGTGAGCATCAACCTGAGGGGCAGTGGGGAGTGCAGTGGACAGGGGAAAGGAAACTTCATGGAGAGGGCTTGGTCTGTGGGTGCAAAGGAAGAGGCAAGGTGGGTGGGGTGGGAGGTCAGTGGGAAACAGATCAATGAAGTTTCTAGTAAAGGCTTCATAGTCTCCTGTGTTGGTCTGGAACCCGGGATGGCACAGACACTTAAGGCCGATGGAATGTGCACCGGCAGCTCATTGATTTTATCGACTGTAGCAGAATTTAGAGCTGGGTGTGAATTCACAACACTGGAAGGGAGGTACTATTGTTATCCCCATTTTACCAAGAGTGGGGATCTAAGTCAAGGAGAGATTATATAATTTGCCCAAGGTCACATAGTACAGATAGACCCAGGATCCCAAACCTAGGACGTTCTTTTTGCACTCTGTGCTACATCCCCAGCCCCTTTTAAAGTTTCGTTTTGAGGCAGTGTCTGAGAAAGTTGCTGAGGCTGGCCTTGAAGCTGCAATCCTCCTGTCTTAGCCTCCCGAGTTGCTGGAACTCCAGATATACACACCCAGCAGAACCTGTTCTTAATCACTATGCTCAATTTATGAATTTATCAGAGGCTGATTCTCCTTGTCTGTAAAATAAGGAATGTAGTAATCCCCATGTAGGGTTGTTGTAAGATTAGAAATAATGAACAAAACATGCCTGACATCTAGTAGGCACTTAACAAACAGCAGCATGTGTTGTTATTCATGATTGGCCCTGTGGCTATATGAAACCCACCACATCCTCACCCTTTGCTGAGCCTTGGAAAGTGCTGCCTGAGAGCTTGCAGGAATGCAGATTCTTGGGTCTCTCCTGGACCTCTGCATCAGAAGCTTGTAGGAAGGGGAGGCAGAGAGTGACCCTTAGTAGGCTTTCCAGGTGATTTGAAGCCTCAATAACATTTGAGACACTGGTGCTTGTCTTCTAGTAAGATCTTTATGATTTCTTCCAGAGACTCATTAACTGTGTCCTAAGCCAATGCTTCTCGGCTTCCATTTGGGATGGTTCCCTCCCCCAGACTTCCAGCTTCCTTTTGTATTTTTTCATCTAATATTGCATTTGTTTCTCTCTCTTGTGGCGACCTGTTCACAGAGAGAGATCTGAACCAGAAATGGCTCATTATTAGGCTTCTCATTCCCAGGGTGGTGTGCTAGGAAAGGATGCAGGAGAGCGGACAGGCTGTGCATTCAGGACACGTGGTCCATTTCCAGCTGGGCTGAGGGCCAAGCTCTGTGGCTTCCAGCATATTTGTGCCCTGGTTCCCCTACCCTCTCCCTACAGCACACACAGTGATTCCAAGACGCCCGAGGATCCCCAGCTCCATGGGTGCCGAAGTCCCTTAGATAAAACCGTGTGGTGCTTGCGTAGAAACTTCACATGTCTTCCTGAATGCTTTGAATCATCTCTAGGTTACTTATGATGCCCAGCATCTCAGGTGAATGCTGCGTAAATAATACTGTATTGTTTAGGAAATAATGAGAAGGAAGAGAGTCTGTCTGCGCTCATTACAGATAGGATTTTTCAAAAAGAATATTTTTGGTTTGAGGTTGGATCCATCCAGGGAAATGAAAGATCTGTATACAAAGGCCATCTTCCCTTTCTAATGTCAGACTTTCATTTTAAAATAATAGGAAAGTACTTGTGAAAGTGCAAAGGATCGTAGTAAACTCAGGAATTAACACAGCCTCTTCTTCTCTCTTGGTAGATATTTTGAGGTTCAGAAACACTTCGTTCTTGGCTCCTTCCCTCTCCCTCTTTACAGCAAATTCTTCCTCCTTGTCGGCTGGGAGTGTGGCCAGATGTGCTGCTGGACTGTTCCCCCTGGACACATTTGCTGCCCTGTGTCTGTGAGTAGAGGCGTCTGAGGCACCTGGCCCGGTGGTCTTGTTGGGACCTCTTTATCAACTTCCCCTCCCCCACTGCTTTTAGTTACCTAATTTCCTTCACGGAGCCATGTCTGGCCAATGTGCCTTGCCTGGATGTTTGTCCCCCAAACCCCTGTGTTGGAACTTAACCCCAATGTAGTGGTTTGGGGAGGTGGGGCCTGAAAGGAAAGTGAGACAGCAAGAGACAGGCAAGCGAGAAATGAAGGATGGAGACCAGGTAGAGAGCCACGCGGAAGTTTATTCTTCAAAGCTGACACACAAAGGCCATCTGTCCATAGAGAGGAGAGAGGCCCCAGGAAGTTTGGGTGTTCCGCTTTTGTGGGGTAGGGGCCTGGAGTTGTAGCTGTGGCGCTGTGGGATAGGCTCGCGGGTGTTACATCAGGGCTAGGCCGGTGGGAAGAGCATGGGATTGGGGCACCATGGGGTTTTCCAGAGTCAAGGGGTGGTGTGCTTCTGGGACTGGCTTGGGGTTATGGTACCATGGGGTAGTTCACTAATGGGGTAGGGGGAGTTCGGGTAAGAAGTACAGGAAAGTGAAACTTACCTCATAAGATGGCGGTCAACATTTAAGATGGCTGCTCAGATGTTAAATCAGTACCCTATAGGGCCTCTGGGAGGTGATGAGATTGTGGGATGGAGCCCTCATGAGTGGGATTAGTGCCCTTATAAAAGGGACCCCAGAGAGCTCCCTAGCCCCTTCTGCCATGTGAGCTCAGCTAGTAGGTTCCAGGAACTAGAGAGCTGGCCCTACAGATCCCGAATCCACTGGCTCCTTGGTCTTGCTCTTCCCAGCCTCCAGAACTGGGAGAAATCAAGTTCTATGGTTCATAAGCCACCGGATCTGTGGCACTTTGTCACAGTATCCTGAGTGGGATAAGGAATAGAGAGGTCTCCATTAATCTTCACAAGAAGAAGCAAAATGTACCAGGGAAAGGCTGACCACACCCATACATGGCTGGGTTTCATAACCACTGAGAAACAAGTCCTGTCGCAGAATGGTCCAGAACTTAGCTGTCATGTGACTGCAGTGAAGAGAATTTCTTTGCTTGGAGGTGTTGCCTCTCCTGTGAGTATCTTGCCCTTTCCTTCTTGTTTGCATTTTTAATTGTTCCCGAGGACAAAGCAGATAGATGTGGAATTGTCAGGTCCTAACAACGGACTCATTTGACCATGTTTTCCTCAACAGTTCATTCCTACTGTCCCAGTGGGAATGACCACGTCTTCTTTGTTCCCATCTCACCAGCATCGAAAACCACCTTTATAAAAACTGGCATCAATCTGATAAATGAATAAATTGGTTTAAATTACATTTTTAAAAAAAAACTGGTAAGGAAGATTTTTTTCCCCTGAGTTTATCCACCGCTGTATTTTTCTCTTATATTATTTTCCTCACCCTCTCCTGTGTGCATTAGTTGGGTTCTTATTGATTTTTAAAGTTTCTTACATTTATAAAGTATATTAATCCTTAGTCATATCGCTGCAAATATCTTCCTCCGTGTTTGGTTTGCTTATGATAATTTTTCCAATGATAATAAGGAGTTAAGTGAAACTCATTAATCTTCTCCTTTGTCATTTTTTTCATTATTTGTTATCTTTAGAATGTCATTCCCCACTATTAAAATTGTTATGAATACTCAGTGGGTGTGTTTGTCGGCTCCTTCCTTGGCCCCTCCCTTTGGGGTCAGGGAGGTAAGGCCCAGCCCTGTGTCTTCTCCTCGCAGCTTTCTCACCTTGCTGGGCCTGGCACTCCCTCTGGCTGGAACCATCCTCGTGGCGGCCAGGGGACAGGGCCCTAACCCTGGGACTTCACCAACACCTGGGACACCTTCCACCCAGTATGGGAGTGTGCCTTTGAGAGAGGCAGAGAGCAGGTGGCCAAGAAGCAGGTTCCAGTGGACGGCTTGCCCCACCCAGCTCTCTCCCCCAGGAGCCACGAGTGGAGGAAAAGGTAGGCATTTTGCGTTTTCATGAACCTAAGACCACCCAAGAGAGGTGACTTGGTTGGAAAATGACCCCTCCAGCGCTGGGTTCTAGTGAATGCCCAGCAGCTTCTAAATGTCACTGAGGAGGCCGGCTCCCTGCTGCTCACAAGTCCGCCTTTGTTTCCCACCCGGGTGCCCAGGCAAAGCAAGGTCACCAAAAAGGCCGCTTTATTTCTTGGGTACAATTATCCAGTGTGTTTTTGTGCTCATCAAAGACTGGGTCAGGACCGAGCTCAGGGTTGTGCTGTGGTCAGTCTCAGGACAACTCAACAGGGCTCAGAGGTGCTTCTGCCATCACTAAGGTAAATAAATGCTTTATACACAACCTGAAGCCCGGGTAGGGGTGAGTGTGCAACACAAGCTGATGAGTGGATCTGAGCCAGAGAGAGATGTCGCACGAGGCTGGACTTGAGAGGGATGCTCTGTGTTTTGTTTTAGTGGGAAGCCACGGGCACTGACTTCATGTGCACCTGTCCATCTGCAGGGGAGAGCACCTATGCACACACTGTGCACAAGAACTGCCTCACCAGGCAAAGACCTCTAGGACACGTGGAGTAATTTGGGCAGATTCTCTTTAGGGCTATACAAGTGTTCTTCCTTAACTTGAATGAGGGCAAAAGAAATTAAAAAAAAAAAATCAGTGAATGGGCCAGAAGAAAATGATATGGGATAAAGTGCTTCAGGGAACATGTCCATGGTGGAAAGCATAGCAATGATTTTTTCCTGACCCCCATTTGCATTTTAAACAAAAACAACAGCAAGGAGAAAAACAACAAAACATATTTGTGTTAAGCTGGAGATAGTCCAAGGAGGAGCTGAGAGGACCTCAAGGTCACTGGTACCCACTTGTTCTCCAAGTCAGAAGCAGTTGGCAGCTCCCCAGGATGCAGCTGTGATGGAGGGCAGATTTTTTAGCTCCTGGGCAAGGGTCCTGCTGCCCTGCAACGTCTACACGTGGGTCTGGTTTTGCCTGCTGGGCCCTGGAAGATCAATCTGGAAGATCGACTCTCCTGATGATCCTGTCAGATCTTGAGAACAATTATGGTGACTGCCCAGATCTTGGAATCTCTCAATGACTTCTTGCACGATGAAGTTCCAGACTTTGCTCTGCTCTTCGTTGGGTGGCATGGTCAGCATAGCAGAGAGTACAGGCTCAGAGATCCCCAACTAAGCCTGCCTTAATTGCTAACTCTGACCTTGGTCAGATTGTTTGACCTCTATGAGCCTCAGATTCTACATGTGTAAACAAGGGCACAAGATGGGACTTGTTGAAGGAATTAAATGAGATTATGTGAATTTACCTCCTCTGAATTCATCCTCCTTTCCCTTATTCTTTTCAGTCAAACCAGGAGAGGGACAGGTTAGGATTTTGATTTACTCAAACTTTCTGCTTGGACTGCGTTGACCTTGCTGAGTAGGCAGCAGGGACAGCTGCATTTCAGAGTGAAGGGAACTGAAGAATCCTGCATGGCTCTCATCAGCACTTCTCCAGCCCCCAGAGACCCCACTTCAGACCAGTTGGCAAGGTTTAGGGCAGACACACCTGGCGTGGCGTCAGGCATCCACCGATGAAACTTGAGGTTCCTCACCCGAATTGAAACTCTGTGATCAGAGAAACTCAGTGGTTCTCAAACCTCAGTGTGCATCCGAATCACCTGGAGGACTTGTGACAACTCTGATCACTGGTCTGGGGACTCCCATTTTGAGAACCAGTGACCACATGCATTATTTCATCCAGTCCTCCCCATGTCCCTGTGGTTTACAAAACTTTCCATTTACAAATGAGCCAAAGGGGAATCAGAGACGCTGTCTTCCCTACAGACCAGTTATTTTCAGATGATTTTTATGACCCTGATGGTTAAGTTCATCCCCAAATAGAATTAGAGAAAATAATAATAACAACAACAACAACATCATCAACAACAACAATGTATTGAGTACCTGCTCACCCAGGTAGCACTGAGCTCAGCTAGACCTTTGGCATTGTTCTAGAATCTTACCCAAACTGTCCATTCTAAAAGTGAGGAAACTAGGATCAAGGAGGTTAGAGCACTTGTGGGAACCTGGCAGGCCCTGGTCCTGTGTCTGTATCACAGCACGGGTCTTCTCAGGAAACCGAGGAGGAGTCAGGTGACACCAGGTGTAGAAAGCTGCTGGCTGTGTGCAGTTAATTGCCAAGTCTCAGTGCAGGACGATTTTCCTAAATGAAAGGGCGAGTGCTGGGCCTCTGGGCAGAGGTACTTCGCAGTGAGTGGCTTCGTGGAAAACTCAGATTTACCCCTAGAACCTCAAATGCTAGGTAATTAAGTTCTTTCATTTAAGAAATTGATTTAGATTTCCAGAGTTTGGTTATAAGCCAGGTCTCATTCGTGAATAAGTTCTAATTCTGCAAAGAAACATTGATGTTCAATTTAAGGCACTAAGTTCTGTACAGGAAAAACTGGGAGTCTTTTGAAGTTATTTTGAGCTTCATAGATTCTTATTTCACAATTCCAGCCACTTAATCTGCTCTTAAGGTAGTTCAAATTAAATCTTAAAAAATACAGGAAATAAATTAACTAGGAGTGAGTGTTCATTCCTAAAGCAATAAGGCTTAAAATAGTGATAACAGTAGCTGTGATCTCATGTTGTCTATGGATTGGTCTCTCTTCAGGGTATTAGCTCCTTTGTTCTTCATGATGATCCTGGGATTATAAGATCTATTCTGAGTCCCATTTTGCAGGTGTGGAGACAGACACAGAGAAGTTAATTCTCTTTCCGGAGATCCCAGAGCTAATAAATGACAGCCAGATTCAGAGCCAGGAGCACCTATAAGGCCTGTACCTTTGTTACTGTGCCACCTTTCTTATCTCCATGCCTGTCCTAGATCAGAGTTAAGGTGTTACTGTGGTGGTTCATCCTTGGGTGAGCACCAGCTATGCCGCTTCAAGTGGAATACAGGTTCTGTGGATCAGGTGATTACTTACTGATGTCTACCTTCTTCCCCCAACCTTCATAAAGGCCTGGGGACAGGAACTGGCATCCTGGGGCCTCATCTGGACAGTGCATTCTGTGCAGGGCTTTGTGGGTCACCAACCTCAGGTCAAACTTGTTAGGGAGGATCAAGGTTTGGGGGTGGGGAGGTGTGCAAGAGTCTGCAGATGGGTCTAGTGGGGACCGTGGAGCAGTCCAGGGTTGGAATGAGAGCTTCAGGTGGCTGCCAAGATCTCTGTGTGTTTTGGCTCCTGTTAAGGGGTGCTGTGTTGATAGGGCTGGCCTTCAGGGTGGACAGTAACAACTTTGCTCTGGCCCAGGGTTTCTAGGAGCCGTGGATCATGCTCTGCAGTGCTTTTCTTGGCAGAGGAACATGCCGGCCATCTGGACTACAAAGATGCCAGGAGGCACCTGCCCTGCACTGAATGGCATCCGTGTCTTAAGTCTCCTCTGGATCATCTCAGGACACACCAGCCAGATGACCGCGTGGCTGTCTTTGGGTGCGGAGAGCTGTGTGCCTTCCCTCTGAGAACTGTCAGGGAGGATAGAACCTTCCATGTGAGATGGAGTTGGGCCATGGGACATGAGCATGGCAGCTCCCCTGTTTTAGAGACTCTAGCCTGTGACCTCTATAGTGAGTGGCTCAGAGGAGCCACTCCTAGGTATAAATACTACATATAATCACATACATAGCGATTCCTGGGTATTATATATTCATCAGTCAGAGAGCTGGGTTTCCTCTGGGACATGGTTGATAAAATCAGAAAGTAACTTCTTTTTCTTTTTTTTTCCTACCTGGAAACAGGCAAGCATAAGTAAACCTGATTTGCTGGCATCGAATCAGCCTTTCTTGACAGCCCTCTGCTGCCACTCTCTACCATAACCATGCTGCTGTCTAGCAGGGGACCACACATGAATCAGAATCAGAGAGGGGGCTGGTCCAGGGCAGACTGAAGGAGCCTCCTAGGTGACCTGCACCTGGACTGACGTTGCTAGAGTCCATGGGGGCTGTAAGCACCGTGAGAGCACAAGGGAGGTCACAGCCTTAGTGACAGCGACTTTAGTCAACACCTTTGTTCCCAATCTAAGTTCCCTTAGTGAAGGCCAGTGGCTCATAGGGCCTCCCAATGCACCGAATGTTGATGGTGTTCCTCTTGCTTTTCTGAATTGAGAAATCATGTGACTTTCCTCCATTAAACAAAAAACCCCTGCTTTTTCATGTTTGTTACAGATAACGTGCTTGAATGGAAAACCAGAGTGCTTAAAAACCCACTGTACCTTTATTCTCGGAGTGGCCCCTTCTATCTTGGGGTTGATACCTTCTTCCTGATCAGGTAATCAAGTTGACTGCATTTGCCTCTGTTTTGCTGGTTCTGGGCCGTGTGCACGCACATCGCCGTTCTCGCCTTAGTGAGCAAGGCTGATCTTCCACACTTACCTGCCTGGGCCTTTGCTTCTGTCCTTTTATAGACGATGCTGTTGTCACAGGCTACTCCCTTCAGTATCCATGGTTCATTGAACAAGTTAGGATGACTCTAAGAATTGGGCCTTTGACAAAAGTCAATTTTCTTTACCAAAATTGTCTATTTCATTGGTTCTCAAAATCTGGTCCTTAGACTGGTGCAGATTCATGATGAAGTTTCTAATTCTCACTACAGTGAAATGTGAAAAATGAAGAAAATGATGTGATGTTTCCTAAAATTGTGTTTATTTAAACTAATGCAAAGTTAAAATTTCCTAATTGTTTAATAAATGGCAGGTATTGTGTTAAGTACTTGGAAGCATTACCTCACTTAATCCTCTTGATATCCCTGTGTAATAAAGGGATTGTTTCCTTCTTTCCTCCTTTTCCTGAGATGCGATTCATATAACATAAAATTAACCAAAGTGTAAAACCCAGTGGCATTCAGCACACTCAGTAATGTTGGCAATGACCCCTATCTGGCTCCTAAACGTTTTCATCACCCCACATGCCCATGGAGCAGTTACTCCCCAGTACCTCCTGCTCAGATCCTAGAGACCACCTGTCTGCTTTTTGTCTGCATGGATTGACCCTTTCTAGAGAATTCATGTGTGTGCAGTCATGCAACACACAGCCCTTGGGCCTGCCTTCTTTCAGTTAACATGAGGTTTTTGAGGTACACCACGCTGTAGCATGGGTCAGCACCCCATTCCTTTGGAGGGCTCTGTAATAGCCATCGTGGGCATGCACTAAAGATCCCCACTTGAAGACAGGGAGGCTGAGACTGAGGGAGATAGTTCTAGTGGACATGGGATCTGAGCCCAGGATCTGACTCCAGAGTTCATGTTCTGTGTTTTTCCATGTCCTCACCTCTTTCCCAGGGAGATGGTGACAGTAGAGGGTGTGCATTCAGTCACCACCCACTATGTACTGAATGCCCTCTGTCAGCCATTGTTCCATGCCCTAAGGTTATTTCATGGATAAAACAAATGAGGATCTTGCTTGGTGCTTCCATTAGTGAGTGGGGAGGGGGTGGGAGGTAATTAACAAAAGAAAAAATAGTCTAAGTAAATACCAGGAAAAAAACAGAACAGGGCTGTGGAGGAGAGGGAGTGGGCAGATGTTTAGAGAAGGTCTGAGGAGGCTACCTGGTGAGGTGCTGTTTGAGCGGAGACCAAAATGGCAGGAAGGAAACAGATTTGGGGAAAGCTAACCAGGGGAGAAGGTTTCAGGCTGAGGGATTGACTAGTGCAGAAGAGCCAGGGTAAGAGCGAGGAGACCCTGTGAAGGAGAGGAAAGGAGGCTGGAGCAGAGCCATGGTGGGGAGGTGGGGGGAGGGGGAGGGGGGACGGAGGGGGAGGGGGGAGGTGGGGGGGAGGGGGAGGGGGAGGTGAAGAGGAGCCACGGGCCGGGCCAGGCCACGGAGGACCTGACGGGAACACCAAGGAGTTTGACTTTGTGTTGGTGGATCAGGAAGTTGGTTGTTTTAATTCAGAAAGTGATATGGTTTTATTTATTTTTAGAAACCATCACTCTGGCTCCTGTGTATTTGAATGATAAACCCAAGAAGGGCAGGAGTGGAGGCGGGAGGTCGATTATGTGATCTTCATCATATTTCAGATAAGAATTAATAAGGCTGGGGCAGGGAGAAGGTCATGTCAAGATGGGTCTTAGAGGTGGAATTGGTAGGACCTGCTGATGGATTGGATGTGAAGTGTAAGAACAGGGGAGCTGGGGACCATTTCTAAGTTTTGGCTTCAGTTACTGAGTCTGTGGTGACTCATTCACTGAGATGGGTGACACTGGAGGAGAAGCAGGGAGGGGAAGGATACGACTTCTGTTTGGGACATGGGCCCTTGGGACATGCACATGGAGATGTCATGAGACTATGACTGACATTACATGACTATGGGGATGGGTGGAAATGTCAAGGCTGGGGGCATAGATTTTGGAATCCTTGGGAGAGAGGAGGGTTTAAAGCCATAGTATTGAAACTGATCACACTAGGAGGGTAATAGAAAGACAGATCTGGACTGAATACCAGGGTCTCTGGTGTCCTAACCCTTAGAAGCTGGGAAGAAGAGGAGGAGCCCACAAAGGAGATTGAGAATGACTGACTGTGAAAGGGGGCACAAGGTAGACCCTGTGGACACCAGAAAGCCCAGGGAAGAGAGCTGCTCAAGGAGGGGTGTGGTCAGAGGGACCTAGCCCTGGGAGCTGAATATGCAGAGAAGTGATCCCTGGACTTGGCAGCTGGAGACTTTGGGTATCCTCATCAGGGCCATGGTCAGTGAAGTGCTGGAAACGGAAGCCCATCAGGGTGAGGTAAAGATGGGGGGAGGTAGAGGCACTTACTGTGGGGAGCTCTTTTAAGACATCTTGCTGTTTAAGGGCGAAAAGGAATGGAGTGGGCCGTATGATTTGTGGGGGACACAGGGTGGTTGGTCATCCACAGAATGCTTCAGGGCATAGCTATAGTGTGTTGGGAATGACTGAAGAGAAAGGGACACATGGGTACATGATGGAGATGCCAAATAACCATAGCAACAGAGCAATGTTTCCACATTAAAAAAAAAAATTCTTTTTTCCAAGCCCAGGAAATTCAAAAGTATATGAACCATGGCGTTAGGAGAGAACTAGCTCCCAGCTGGGCAAAGCATTAGTAATGGATTACTAATCCCCATCCAGCCTTGCAACACCTACCTCCCTACTCTCCTGGTGGCTTCCTCTCTTCTCCATCAGATGTCTTCTCAAATGTCACCTTCACAGCCCAGTGTTTCTTGTCCCTGGTCCCCATTTAAAATGAACCCCTCCAGCATTCTCTAGTTCATTTTTTCCTGAGATTTTCTTTATGTAACATACTATTGATGGGTTGATTGATTGTTCTCCTTCTTTTTCCACTGGAATGTACAGTAGGACTTTTTTCTCTGCTGTGTGCTGCTGTGTCACCAGGGCCTGGAGCAAGGATAGCCATAGAGGGCTGCTCTACATTGAAATGAATCATTTCTCCATTGTTTTATCTCAAGACTCTGCTGTGATAATTCTTTATAATGCAGAGCAAGTGGGGTGCAGAATGAGCTGAGACCTACCTGTGAGGGCAGTGGCTCAAGCTAGAAGGTGGCCAAGGTGACAAGAGAGAGCAGCCCAGTCAGGCGGAGTTCAGAGCACTCGGCAAAAAGTCTAGTATTGATACAGGAGCCACTGGGCACTAGACTTTTCCAGAGAGCACAGTGGGGTCTGGGCAGACAGGTGAGGCACACAGTTACAGGACACCTGTGAAGGATCCCTGGGGAATGGGGAGGGCTGCCTGTGGGACAGCATCAGACACCAGAACTCTTTTCCCTGAAAGGGCAAAACCAGGCATGCATACATGCACATGCACATCACACACACACACACACACACACACACACACACACCCATGCCATAGGCTGGAACGGGTCTGACTGGCAGGCCTGAGCCCTGGGAGGAAAGCTGGCAAGGACAAACCAAGATGGCTAGAACCAATCTGGAGACTGGGAAAGCAGCCAGTAGGAGGGAAGGATGAAGGGCATGAAAAGCCACTGGCCATCCTTGTGCCATCAGTGGGAATCTCAGACACCAGAGGAGCCACCGAGTAGCCTCATGTATCCCTATATCCACAGGCCAAAGTTGTTGAACTGCCAAATATCCACGAATACTCCAAATATGTGGAGACTGCCTTCCTCACATGTGGACTGGTCTGGGCGGAAGAGAGCTGAGCCTTTTACCAGTGATGCTCAGATCAGCATCACCTGGAAGCTTGGTAGCAGTGCAGATTCTCAGGCCCAGCCCAACCCAACTCCACTCCCTCAGGGAGTGGGACCAGCAGTCTGGGGTGTCACAAGCCCCCCAAATGATCCTGATGCCTGCTAAGGTCAAGCCCCATATGAGCCCAGGGCGGGTGGGTGGGGGAAGAGCTGGGGATGACAGATGGGGGAACGAGGTAGATCCTGATTCCAATCTAGAGTCAAAGAAAGACATTTCTTTCTTCTTTGTCCTTATTTGTTTCTGTTTTTTTACTGCCTATCTCTGTGACTTTTTTCCTTCAGTATTTATTTTATTCCTTTAGAAGGGTCCCATTTGCCTTTATTTAAAATTTTTATTTGAACAATGGAACAATATTATCTACATTTTTACAGATGAGAAATTCAGTATTTGGAGATGAACTGATTTGTCCATATCTCCCCAGCAAGTAAGGTGTCAATCAGAACCTAAGAATGCAGGTTGAGCATGCCAAATCTGAAATCTAAACTGTTCTCAAACCTTCGAGGACCAACATGATGCCACAAGTGGAAATGTCCACTCCGGCCTCATGTGACAGGCTGCAGACAAAATGCAAGCACACTAAACATGCTGCTGCCTCAAAGCTACATGTGCTACGTGAGTGTGAAATGAATGGATTTTGTGTTTAGATTTGGATTCCTTTTCCAAGATAACTCATTATGTATAAACATTTCAAACTCTGTAAACACTTCTTGTCCCAAGCCTTTCAGATATTCAGCCTCTAATATGTTTTTCATGGAAGCTATGTTTTAATTGCCACGTCACTGATATATATGCATCAGAACCAAAGACTGCTGATTGTCTTTAAGAATAACTAATGGAAGGGCCTGGGGTTGTGGCTCAGCGGTAGAGCGCTCGCCTAGCACGTGCAAGGTGCTGGGTTCAATCCTCAGCACCACATAAAAATAAACAAATAAAATAAAGGTATTGTGCCTAACTATAACTTAATAAATATTTAAAAAATAATAATAACTAATGGAGCCCAGCTACTTGGGAGGCTTGGTGGGAGGAGGAGGCCATCCTCAACCTAATGAGACACTGTCTCCAAATTAAAAATAAAAGGACTGGGGATTGTAGCTCAGTTCTAGAGGACATCTGGGTTCAATCCCTAGCACTGTAAAAAAAAAAAAGTGACTAGTGGATGACTGTTTGGGATCCTTTCCTACCTCGCCAGCTGGCCTCACACTTCTCCATTCCCATCCTGCTCAGGACTCTGGGACGTAGTCTTTTGCAGCCCATCATCCTGCCCACAGCCTGTTTTCCTGCCAGGCTTCTCAGTGCCCTCTGCTTATGAACCTGAAGGCTGGGCGGCGCTGTAGAGGGGAGTGCCCAGTCTCTCTGAAAAGAAAGGATGGCCCTGATTTATCCTTTTCTGAAATGAAGAGGAAGCCGGAATCAGAATTGGCTGTCCTACTTCCACCCTGCAGCACTCTTTCTTACATGTCTCTATAAATTTTGTTCCTATTATAATGAATCCAACTTGCTTTTCAAAGGCAAATTTAGCAGGGAGAGAATGAAGACATTCTCCAGCCCTCCAGGATCCCTTCCAAGTTGGGCCCAACACACACAGCCTTGTTTTGCAATAGGAAATAAATTTGATCCTTAGAGAAACACCCACAAAGGTCATGGGTCTAAATGCCACAGGGTTGGGCAACTCACTCACGCACTTGCTCACCTAAAAGTTATAACTCAGCGCCATGACCCACCACCTCCGTTCCTCTTGCTGAACATTCTGTCTGTCATGAGTTTTCCACTGGGATGTGTCGGTTAGGAATTCTAACTGTGATCTTGAGCAACCCTCTTAATCATCTCTGAATTTCACTTTTCCTGTTAGGGATGAGGAATGATAATGTCTTCCCTTTGACTTAATAGACCTGTGAGTTCATTCACTCAATAAACATTTATTGGAAGTAGTTCTTGGTGTGGCTGCAGAAGCAAAGGCAATCTCATTGGGGAAAGTACTTTGAAGGTGATGCCATACTGTAGAAATGGAAGTCCTTGATGTTTCTACTTGAAAAGACCAACATGGTAGCTATCAGCATTGTTGACCAAGTATTTCTGGAACTCCACCCTCCAGGAACTTGGCAACATTTCACTCTCCAAGCCCCACTGGGCCTGGGTGGGCCACATCACTAGTTCTGACTAACAAGTAGCACCTCGTATTGCCATTATGCAAAGTGCTTTAAATCCTATGCTGAGAACTTTGAACGTGTCATGTTTAGACTAGAACTGAATTGTTGAGTTAAAATCCTCCAGAACTCTTGTTCTGTGCTATGGTCACTGGTGAACTTTCAGATAGCAGCAACTCCATCAGCCTAAGTTCCAAAGCAAGGAGATATCAAGACCCAGGCAATCGGTTGTATGTTTCATGAGCAAAATAAAACAACCCAAACAACTGTTGCTTTCATATTTGGAGCTTGTTTGTTACTGCAGTATCACTTAGTCTATCCTGACTGACATGACCATTTATCAACAAATGAACTATATTATTGATAAGTAATTCCTCTTTTCTTTCTCTTAGTGGTTGGTTAAGTGCAAGGTCATTTCTAAAGATTCAACAGAATTCAGACAAAGGACTAACCCCTAAAGTCATACTCAGATACTTTCTTAATCGTCTTATAAGGTAGGTTTTTTATATAATTTCTTACTTCATTGTAGCTGTATAATAAGTTCTTATTTTTTTTCAGTGCTTAATCCTCTTTTGAAAGAATTTCCAAAGCAAAATATACTAAGAAAATATTTTTTTTCCTTAAATACAGTTGGTTTTTGCTGATTTAATATGGTTCAAGTTCTAGCTGGGTATGGTGGCTCACGCCAGTAATCCCAACGGCTCAGGAGGCTGAGGCAGGAGAGTGGCGAGTTCAAAGTCAACCTCAGTAAAAGTGAGGCACTAAGCAATACAATGAGACCCTATCTCTAAATAAAATACAAAATAGAACTGGGGATGTGGCTCAGTGGTTGAGTGCCCCTGAGCTCAATCCCCTATACAAAAAATGTGTGTGTGTGTGTGTGTGTGTAGTTCAAGTTCTGGTAGAATAAATGCCATGAAATTTGTATCTTCCACTGGCAAAAGCTCCCTAATTCCTCAAAAAATGGAAAGCAGATTTTGATAAAAGTACTACCAATTTCCATGATATCTATATGCTACTGGAGAATCAGTGTGACTGCGAGTTGGCCGACACTGGACCTTGTAAATCAGAGTATGAATAGTAATGATAAAAATAAAAGACGACACAGCCGGGAAGGGAACAGGGTGAAGCTCAGCTCAATGGCCATTCTGCTGAGAGGGAGGCGGGAAATTATGGCTTCCTGCGGGAAGGGGGTTGGTTGAAGCAGAAAGGATTCCAAGATTGACACAATACAGAACCAGTGATGGCAAAGTGGCAGTGATAGAATGCGATGTCAAAGTTAAGGCGAAAAGGAGACTTCAACACCTGTACTCCAACTCTTCCATTTATACATCTTTTCAGTCCTGCTTAGAGTTGAGCTGGACCCCCACTTTCAGGACTCCTGTTCCAGTCCCATCTTGGTACACCACATTGTTCACAAAATAGTGAAAGCCACCTTCAGGGCTAGTTAAATGAAGTGGGCAAGAGCAGAGGCCATAGCTCTACTGCTGAGCCGGCATTCTGGCTCAGACACTGCTGTGTGACTGAGTAAGCATCTCAGCCTTTCTGTGCTTGAGTTTTCTCATCTCTGAAATGGGGCAAATAATGGCACTTAACCTTGTAGGACTCTTGCAAGGATTAATCGAGATAATGCCTGTGAAGAATTTAGAAAATGCTTGGTGGGTAGTAAGCATTCAGTGAGTATAAGCTACCATTGTTATTGTTGTTATTTATTCCTTTTCCCTTTTCCTTCCTATTGGCTAAGAATGAGGATGAGCTCAGGAGTGGACCTTTATTGGCTTTTTACCATGGTCCTTGTGGTTTTTTCCAAGGTGCTACCAAATCTAGCCCTCCTCCTGGGAAGGATAGAATGCACAATGTCTTTTGGGTGACAGGCTCTGGGTTAAGCAGCCTGTTCTTCCCTGAGGATTCCTGAAGGAGAGGGACTGGCTTAAAGGCCAAAGTTGGAGACCATTAGGGATCAGATGCCATCGTCTGGCAGGTTTCTCTGGGAAACCTGCTTCAGGAGAAAAATCTGGAGCTAGGATGGAGGATCCAGGAGGGTTTTTACAAGCGGATAAAGAAGTGGGGTGGGAGAAGCCCCAGTGGAAGTGGAGTAGTGGTGAGAACTTGTGGGTAAGTGACTGCAATATCCAGGAAGGAGAGCAGGGTTTGGTGATTGGCAGAGGGAGTAAGGACTGGAGAAATCTAGCATTTCCTGGCCTGAGCAACATGGTGCCTGATGGAAGTATTGTCGGTCAGAGAACTCCGGGAAAGTGGCAGATTGCAGTGAGACTAGGAAGAAGATGACTCCAACCTGACACCAACACACAGTCTGAACTCACAGCCTGTGAGGTCCCCAGGGACAAAACCACCACGGGCTGGGACATTCAGGTGTTCTCATTCATGCCGGCAGAACTCCCTGATTCTACCTGGTTAGGATTTAATACTCCAAGAGGACAGGAGGCGAGATCCTTCGTCCACTCACTCTGTGCCAGGCACTGTTCTAGATTCAGTGTTTTAATAAGCTCCTCCCAGCGTTGAGGAACACATTCAACACATAGAGAGTCAACATCAAGTTACAGCATACCAGTCAATGGAGAACGGGTCAGTGGTGACGAGGGCCACCAAGTGGTCATTTGGAGAGGGAAGTGAGGTGGGGTCTGCTTCTGGAAGGGTAGTCAGAGAAGGTGACTTTGAAAGAAGAAAAGGAATGTTCTAAACAAAGAAATGCTCAGGGGGAACCAAGTGAAAAAGTCCTGAGAAGGGGTGCAGTTGGTGTGTTGGAAGGACTTCAAGGAGCCCAGACACGCTCTTGGGAGCAGAGCCAGCAGCCTGGAGGGCAGGAGGGAATGAGGTCAGAGGGCATGTTACGTGGGGCCTGGGGGAGCAATTTCCACGTCGTTTTAAGATGGAAGCCTTCGAAGGGGTCTGCAGGGGAGTGGTCCAGTCAGATTACAAGATTCACCCTGGCTGCAGCACAGCGAGCTGGACGTGAGGGGGCAGGGCTGGAGTGGGGAGACCAGTTGGGAGCTATTGCAAGTTATAAGAAAATTCAAAAAACCCCACGGCTGGGGGCAAATCAGAAAAAGATCATCTACTGGGAAATGAAGGGCACAGACACCCGGGAGCTGCAGGATAATTCCAACTGAGAGCCACATGTTAAAAATTGTTTTATATTATAGCTTCTGATGAACAGTGTCTAACTGTAGTCGAAAGTTATAACTAAAATAAGGGGGTCCCCTTCCAGCCTCTCTCCCCACAGCACACATCTGTTAACAGTTGAATTCTAGTGGAGACTTTCCTTGTATTTGTAAGCACTGCCCCCTGCTCCCCACCCCTAAGAGCATTGTCCTACATATTGCACAGTTTTGCACGTGGCTTTTTTACTTAATGATTTGGTGTCGCTGATGTTAGAGGTCACCTGCATGGCATTATGTTGTAGGAAGCCATTATGCATTTAGCCTGTTCCATTGATGGGCATGGAGGTAATTTATAACTTCTTGTCTTAGGCAAGAAGACAATGTATATATGTTATTGTGCACTTGGATGGGTATGTTTGTGGGGTAAATTCCTTCAAGTGGAGTTGGTGATTTGTATGCCTCTAAATTTTTTCTGTCTTTATTTTTATTTATTTATTTATTTAAATGATTTATTTTGGAGTACTGGGGATTGAACCCAGGGCCTCATGCATGCTAGGCAATGTGCTCTACTGCTAAGCTACACCCTGGTCCAAGGATCCCACTTTTCAAACCCGCTTTGACTTTAACTCTTGGAAGCTTGGATAAAGATGCACTACTCCAGGTGTGGTAGCACACGCCTTTAATCCCAGGGACTTGGAGATTGAGGCAGGAGGATCACAAGTTCAAGGCTATCCGTAACAACGTAGTGAGGCCTTGTGTCAAAATAAAAAATAAAGAGGGCTGGGGATGTGGTTCAGAGATTAAATGCCCCTGGGTTCAATCCCCTGTACCAAAGGGGGAAAAAAAAAGAAACAGCACATATTAATTTCTGTGGTCCTCTGTGTCAAACTGTCCGTGTATTTAGCTCATTGCATTCTCAAAAAAGCTTAGGAGGCAGAAAGCATCATCCTTCTTTTAAAGAAGAAGGAAGAAGAGAAGTCAGATGTGAAGACTTAAGGCAAATCTAGAAGTCACGTTCTGGTTCTTTTCCTGTAGCTGCCCTCCCCCAACAGCATTGGCCCATCCCCCCGAGACCCACTGATTCTGAGCCTTCATTTTCACAAGTACCAGGGGAGGTAGATGGAGAAGGGGTGGGCGCACTGCTGGGGTGGGGCAGGAGGGATGTCCCCCCTGACTGCATCTGTCCTGAGTGCTGCTTCTGAGGGGAGCAGGGTAGACACTCTCTCCAGGGAGAGGAAGGTGGCAGATGGTGGGAAGGGCGTCCAGGGAGGTGGGAGCCAGAGGCTCGGAGGAGCAGCTGCAGTGCCTCTGGTCAGATGGCTGGCAGGGCAGGCCTCAGGCCCCAGGAGGGCTGCTGCCCAAGCAGACACTGAGGTGAGCTGATCTGGGAAGGTGCACTTGACATCCTCACCTGCTTTTTCTCGCTTTGATCAACAATTCCATCTCTGTTCCTCGCATGCCCAGTGGACATTGTGTAGGATGCTCTCATTGCCCAGAGGCCCGGGAGCCCAACGGGCCTGATGCTTGGTACTGATTCACTGTCCTGCAGCTGTGGGTGGAGATGCTCCAAGTCCTGCCTGCACCCCACCCAGCCCGGATGCCTCATCCCAATGATCTGAGGTTGTGTTAGTTGGCTTTTTCAATGCTGTGACTAAAGGACCTGACCAGCACAATTATAAAGGAAGAAGAGTTTATTTTAGGGCTTAGGGTTTCAGAAGTCTTGGTCCATAGAAGGCTGGCTCCATTCCTCAAGGCTCGAGGTGAGGCTGAACATCATGGCAGGGGAGAGTGGTCGAGGGAAGCAGCTCATATCATGGTGAACTGAAAGCTGAGACAGAGACTCCACTTGGTAGACTCAAATATATAGTCAAAGCCATGCTCCAATTCCCACCTCCTCCAGCCACACCCTGCCACTTCAGTTACCACTCAGTTAATCCCTACCAAGGGATTAAATCACTGATTCGGTTAAGACTCTTACAACCCAGTCATTTCTCCTCTGAACCTTCTTGCATTGTCTAACAATGAGCTTTTGGGAGACAGCTCATATCTAAACCATAAAAGAGGTTCTATGGGGTCTACTTGCTCTACTTGAGAAAAACTACAGTGAATATCAAGATGTATTATTTTTTTAAATTAATTTTTTAATTAAAATTTTATTTGTTTTAATTAATACATGACAGTAGAATGCATTTATGCACTTTGATACATCATAAATAGGTGGGATATAATTTCATTTTCCTGAGTGTACATGTTGCATAATCATACTGGTCATGCAGTCACATATATTCATACAGTAATAATGCCTGTTTCCTTCTACTACCTTTCCTATCCCCACATCCCCTTCCACTCCCATAACTTCCCTCTATCTAATCTAAGGTATATATCTAAGGCTATTCTTCCCTAGTGCCCCCCGCTTTATTCTGAGTTAGCATTTGCATATATATTCTTTCATTTTTAGTTTTTTGTGGTGCTAGGGATTGAACCCAGGGCCTTGCTAAATATTTATCCTACTACTGATCTACTCTCAGCCCAGAATGTACTTTTTAAAAAGAGTGATCTGACCTCAGTGCACCCAGAATCCCTTCCAGAACTGTATGTGATGCCCTGTCACACCTCACTCCCAACTCTGCCAGACACCAGTGGCCAACTGAGATGTCCCTCAGGTGCAAAGTATGTGCTGGGTTCTGAAGATTTAGTAAAAAAGAATATAAAATAGCTTGCTAATACATTTTTAGGTTGGTTACATGTTTGAAATGATAATATTTTGGGCTAAATAAGTGATCTTAAAATTAATTGTACTTTTTTTTTTTTTTTTTTTTTTTACTCTGTAAAGTGCAGCTACTAGAAAATGCCAAATGGGGGGTGATAGACAGGGTTCACGTTCCATTTCCACTGAGCCACACTGATCTGGACACCTGGAGTCTTATGCTTCACCTTTGTGACTACTGTGGGTCCTGCATCGGAGCAGGAGGGGTACGAAGGAAGGAAGAGATGAAGGCCCAGAAGGGGAGAGGGAAAGAGGGAGCGAGGAAGGAGATCGTTATTGCTCGAGGCGCTGTGGAAAGAACACGAACCCGTGTCAGATCTCAGCACTGCTGTGTGATTAGGGCAAGTCACCCTAATCTCCTCATCAGTAAAAGGGAGGAAAGGGCTACCTGACTGGATAGTCTGAGGGTTAGAAATATCTAAAAAGCTTCTATCACAGAGGCAGTAAATGACGGTGATTTTGTGTCAGGAGGTAGCATGACACAGCACATGGGAGCAGCTTAGCAGTGATCCTGGACCCCTGGATGCCTGAATGCTGGAGCGTGCTGGCAGGAGGCTGGCCTCCGACACAGTCTGTTGTAGAGCACCTACCCTCCGTCCCCCAGGCGCCCACCATGGGGCTGAGCGGACCTCTGGAGAGTCACCTCCTCTCTCCTGCTCTTTCCTGCCAGACTGCAGCCTCTTCACCTGCACTCAGTGTGCTTGTTGGTTGGATTGTTCCCTGTTGTTCCCTGGGGACCTGTCTGGGAAGTACCCAAATTCCACTGGGACAACTGCCGGCAAGCTTGGTGGACCAATCTGCTGTTGCTAAATAACTTTGTGTCCGTCCAGAATGCGGTGAGTCTCGAGCTGTTGGCTTTGTAAGGGCAGGTGGGTCACCGGTGCCTCAGTCACGGGATAGAGCCAACCTGGGGTGGAGCTGTGTCGGTCTACACAGGGGGCAGCTGCTGTGGGAAGCAGAGGAGGGCATAGTAGTGTTAGTGAGGGGTAACCTCCAAGGTCCATGTCCCTAGGTGACAGCCCCAACCCCATCATGGTCCCGTACCAGTGCATGTCCTTCACCCCAAAGGAAAGGACACCATCTTCACCATATGCACCAAGAGCCTATCCTGGGGTGGAGCCTCCCACCACACCCTCACCATAGGAAATTCTACTCAATTTCTAGCCAGACCTGACAGAGCTTGTTCAGAACTACAAGATCCGTTCATGTTGTGGCTACCCCAAAGCCCCAGAGTCCTCATAATAAATGTGGAATGAAAAAAACTGAAATAACTGTAATTAGATCATGTCACCAATCCCTCAAATGTCTTGAAAGTGGAACCAAAAGAGAATTTCCTAAGTGTGGCAGGTCCCTAATTATTGTACATAACCACTTACTAATGAAATGGCCAATGCCCAGCAGCTTTGACGAGCAGTCCATTGGTGACAGGGGTCCTGGGAGACAGTCTGTCTTCCCAGCAGACTGTGTTCCCATTTTGGGGAGTCAGGGACAAGGACAGAAGCCAGTTACCTCTTTGAGGTGAAGTCCACCTTAGATACCCAGAAGCTAGGGTGCCAAGGCCCTCAAGACTGCTACTCATGCTTTTCCCCACTATGAAACATTGTCTTCAACTGTGGACAAAGATGCCCCTTCCTTGGCAGAAGTCTGAGTGCCCTGGGACCCTGGGGTCCAAGGCACAGGAAAACCGTCCCCTCACATTGAAGGAAAAGTGGAGGTAACTACCTTATTTCTCAATATCCATGGACAGTTCCAACCATGTGGTTTTGCCTAGACGATCCCACGTGGACCCTGTATGGGAACACAGGGGCTTCCACCCAAGTGCATCTGGAGCCACGCCGTGGTTCCAAATGAGCACAGTTTTGCCACCTAAAGTTGGGGGCGAAGACCAGGCAAGGGAAAGAAAATAACACCAACTGCTGAGTTCCAACTGCACTGTTTTGATAATTACCTTGCACATTCCTGTAACATGATGGAGTCCAGTTCCCACAACTGTTCAAAGAGACGGGGTTAGCAGAAAAAGAAAAAAAAAAAAAAAAAAAAAAAAAAAAAAAAAAACAAAACCAACAAAAATTTTAAAAAGGCAGCAAAGGGTAGTTTTCATCTGGTGTCTTTTATTTAAGTTTTTTAAGTTAAGAAAAGCTGGTGACATATTTATACGTTTTTGTGCAAAAATAAATGAATGGCAATAGATTTAAAAAAAATCTTATTATGTACTTCTGTGTGAAAAAGTCTGTATAATATTTCCCTTAAATATGCATTATTTTACTTGTGAGTTTTTTTACTGAATTAATCTGAAATGTACAAGCCCTGGATTTGCTACAGAGTGAAAAGTTATTTTATTTTTTTTTATTTTTAATTTTGGAAATTCTGCAGAAATCAGAACTCTTAACCATGGTTTGAACTAAAAAGGGGCAGTGGGGAGGGGAGAAGGGTGGGATTGTCCAGCATGCTTGTATGTATATTTCAGAAACTTTTTTAAATGTAAAAGCTGTACATTTCTGGGAAGTTCTGAATTTCTTTTTGTTTTCTTTTTTCCTTCAAGCATTTTGCAGTGAGCTTCTTTTATATATAGCAAACAATTTGAAAGAATACAAAAATATGTGAAGTTCATTTAAAAAAAAAGACTACAGTATAGCGCTGGTACAGTACACTAAAAGACTTTGATAAAAAGAAACAATAATAAAAGGCCTCCATTTTAAATGTCATTCATATATACCTTGTGGATGAGAGATATATACTTTTACACACTTTTTTAGAGGAATAAATTATTGAATTACTGAAAAAAAAAAAAAAAGAGACGGGGTTACTGGTTTTTTAAAAACAAAAGAGAAAACTGTCCGAATCTCCATGTGGTAAAATCTACTATCCAGACTCGTTCCAAGAATCCATGGACCAAGGGATGTGAAATAGCGCTTGCTCAAATTTCCTTCTCTTCCCCAGCCAGCTCCTCATCCCAACCACCTACTGAGCTCTTCCTCCAAGTCCAGGCAGGTGGGAGATGTGGAGCAAGAGGAAAGACCTGAAGGCAAGAGGTCACTTTGGCTTCTCTTTGCAGTGTAATGGCTGGACCTGGTACCTTGCCAACGACTTCCAGTTCCACCTCACCACACCGCTGATTGTCCTTGTCTACAGAAAGTGAGTCTAACTGGGATAACTGCCCCTTGAGACTCTAAAGAAAGTGCTCTAGTTGTGTGTAGAGCAGATTTTTTAAATTGAGAAAATGAGTTTTCAGAAATGCAGGTCCCATGTCCTCTGTGTTTACCTTCTTCCACATTCTCTTTTTATGGCCCAGGTCAGTACGTTTTTGCAGAGTTATAATTAGCATGTAGGTAATATCTACCGTTCAGGTTTTTCCACGTCAACTCTTCTTATAAACACTTCCACTTATTGACATAACCTGCATACCTGTCACTTTTAGGATTTATATGTCATTTTTGTGGCTGGGCAACTAGATTGAGCCCAGTTTTTCATGATTATAAATGGCACATCAATGAATGTCTTTGAACACACTACTTCTTCTCCTGGTTATTTCCATGGGGGCAGATTTCCAAGTGGAATTACTAGGTCAAAGGGTAGGAGCAATTCTGTGCTGCTCGTTTCTTAGTGTAGATTGCTCTCTGGAAAGAAAAGAAATTTACAGCACACTCAACAATGTATCAGGGTACCTGCTTCCCCACATTGGGTATTTATCATCTTAATTTTTGTTAGTTTTAGAAATACTTTATGGCCTCAATAATTCATGCAGAGATTTATAGTTTGTGGACCACTCATGCCATATTTTAAGAGATTTATTATTCTGTTTTTTGTCCAAGTACTTGTTCAATTTAAGAAATATTGGAAAATATTAGGATTAAAAGAGGGAGATACAGTCACCCAGTCTCTCGTCACTGAAGGTGAGGCAAAATCACTGTTAATATTTTGATGATTATGCTACTGATATTTTTTTCTGCCCAGCATTATATACATGAAAATGTTCTGTATAAATATGTTTCTATCTTTTATTTAATAGCTTGTGACCCACACATTTCCCTGTACTATTTTACTTTTAGAAAACATAATCATAAAGCCTGCATAACGTTCCATTTCCTGGATGAACTGTGATTTACTTATACCTTCTCCCATTGTTAAATACTTGGATTCTTTCCAATTTTATGCTTTTTATAAATAATGGCCTGATGAATATATTCATGGCAATCATTTACCTCCAACTCCAATATTTCTTTAGAAAGCATATCCTTAGGAGGAATTACTGGGCCAAAGGGTATGAATGTCTTTGGGGCTCTTGAATCATAACGATGAATTACTTTTTAAAAATCGAGACACCCGTGTTTGACATTTCTACAAAACTGCAGAGCCTCTTAGTCCCAACCCTTACTTACTACTATGAGCCAGTACAGACTCCACCTTGCTCAGAGCCTGGGTTTACAAAGCTCTTGTTTCTTACCAGAGCCTCTCAGTATTATAGCTGGGACTCCAGGGACCCTCTAGTCTTACACATGCAAAATTCCAAGGTGCACAAGCACTAATTTGTGTGGGGCCACCCTTGACCCATGGGAAATGAAATACACTGGGAAAATGCTTCCCTCTTTCATCCCCAGGACAGTTCTGAGATACATTTCATGAGGCTCTGAAGAACATTCTGGAAGAACTGAGCACTGGTGACCTTGATAGCACATAACCTTGTACTGGCTTTTCCCGCTTTCTTGTTCTTCTTCCCCATCCCCAATCCTACTTCCACAAGAACTGTGCACACCCATTTATCTCTGGCCTGCTTCCAGATTGGCAGGGGGACACCAGGATCGCCTTCCTACTCTGTCCCCCTCCCATGTCCTTGGAGTGAGTGTCAGTGTCCACCTTACCTGCCTTGAGCAATTCATTTCTCTCTTTAATCAACCATTTACATCCGTATAGTATTGTGTAGATGACAAAGGACTTTCCCTGGCATGGCCTCATTTTGAGCGGCATCATAAGCTTCTAGACAAGGAAACTCGAGTTCAAGGCCCTGTCCAGGGTCACACAGCTAGTAAAGGTCCTCCCACCTCAGCCCAGCTCGCCTGGTCCATCGGGTCTCCCCACCCCCACCCCCTGGCAAAGCGAGGCCAGCAGGAGCTCCTTGGTTGTCAGGCTTTATAAACCTGGTGGTGCAAGGACCTGCAGGGCCCTCCTCCCCATGTCCTCTCTTTGCAGAAGCAAACATGTGCTTGTCCTCCTCGGGGCCCTGCTGTTCCTGGCATCTTTCACTGCCACTGCTCTGCTCACACTGGCTTACAGACTTCCCGTGTCGTCTCCATCGGCAGCCAGGTAATGGTTCCCAGCCTGTCCCTCTGTCCCTCTCCTGCCCTCCCATGCCAGACCTCCCAGGGAGGGCGGCTGAATGCCAGGCTGCTTGCTCTGTGTCCACCGGCTCGGCTCCTGGGAAAGCTGGGTGGGAAATTTTCCATCTGCTTGAGAAAGCCGGTTGCATTTTTGCTTCCAAACTTCTGAACCTTTCAACTTGCCTCGAGGGGTGCTCTTGAACTCACGCCGCCGCCCATGGAAATGCTTCTCAGAGGAAAGGAGCGCCCCCGCGTGGCGAAAAGGTGCTTCTCCTCTAGTGTGTGAATGGCTGCTCCGAATCTCTATTGTTGGATGGAAGGACCGGAATTTAGGAATTAGGGGCTAACTTTTCGAGGTGACAAGGCTACTACTAGATGGCCTGGATGTGATTGAACCTAGGACCTTACCCACGATGCTATTTTTCCTCTCCGATGAGCAACGTGTATGATTCTTCCTAATAACCACGCTGTGGAATCACCAGCTCATCTATTCTCAATTCAGCAGAGTGACACAGAGCATCAGACAGGTCAGCCATCTGGGCTGATTCCCCCAGTGACTGGCTTCATCTGTTCCCCCTCCTGCCTGCTGCCTCCAGACCCACAGTGACCTCACGTCCACCACATAGCACACTCCTGGCACAGGGCCGTCACACTTATCCTTCCCCCTGTCTAGAATGCTCTTCCATAGGATCTAAGATCTCTATAGGGCTTTCTCCTTCACCTCTTTCAGATGTCTGTGAAATGTCACATTCCCAGCCTCCCCTTCATGGACCTCCCCATATAAAATGGTCCGGACAGGCCTGGTACATAAGTGCTCCCTACGTATTTGTGAGTGGGCGGGACGTGTTGCTAAATGAATGGATGAAACTACACAGCAAACCTCCTGGCCAGGAGAGCACATGCCCTTCCCATAAATGTCATCTGCCTCTGTGGGTGTGTCCAGGTGATGGAGAAAGGAGGCTTACTCATGCCTACCCCTGTGGTTCCCTCTGCGGGATGCGCTTTAGAGTCCCCCTGGGAAGTTTAGATCCTACTGGTGCTTCTAGCCCTACCTTGGGCCAATTGTTTGGGAATCTCTGGAGATGGAATCCAGACAACTGACTTTCATAAGCATTCCCCAGGTATTTTAGTGTGCAGCTATGTTAGAAGAACCTGATCCTCAGGAAACTTCCCTGCCTGGTTGTCCCTGCATGGGCCGTGAGGGGAGTCAGAGCTGAGAGCATGTTTAGCTTCGGTGGGGGAACAGTGATACATTTAAAGCACAGTTCCCAATCGAGGCTGCGCTTTGCAAGCCCAGATGAGCTTTGACCATCTTCCTCTCTGGGTATCATGCCCACAGTTTCTTATTTAATGCGCCTGAGTGTAACCTGGACATTTCCTGTGACAGATACTCCATAGGTGGTGCTTCTCGAGCTTGACAGGTATCAGGGTCCCCTGGAAGGCTTCTTATCACAAGATGGCTGGCTCCTCTACCAGTTTCCCCCTATTCAGTAGGTCAAGGGAGGGGAAGGCAGGAATTTGACTTCCTAATAAGTTCTAAACATGCTGCTGCTGTTAACGTCAGGGGACCATACTTTGGAAATCACAGCATCCAAGAATACTCTTTGGTATCTTCTCAGGAGCCCAGCTTGGACCTCTCAGAACGCTTTTCCCTCATATTAGTCTCTTCTGGGCATCATGTTCTCAGAGCTATCCTGGAGTATCAGCCACCAGAAACAATTATTTAAAGTGAACAATGTCATCCTGTATCCTAGGGATTGGGCATGGAATTTGGACAAGCCAACTGCAACCCAAGGCAGGTCACTATTGGTAGATAAATGAACAAATGTGCCCAAATTTACCTTTGGTTTTGCTGGTTACCCCAATGGACATCTCAGAGATTCCCATTTCTATATCTAGAAGAAACATAACCTTTTATTTTATTTTCTTGTATTTTTTCAGTGAAAATGAGACTGTAATGTATTTCTTGGAATACTACACCAAGCCCTACTGCCGATATGGACCATTCCTTGTGGGCCTCTTTCTGAGCATTTTCATGCACCAAAACCATCAGTCAAATATTCTCAAGACCAAGGTATGGTTTTCCCATGCCTCCCTGTAAGGGCACTGGGTTGGTTGGCTTGGTGCAGCCATCTGTTCACACTCATCCTAGCCGTGGGCAGGAGGAATCAGACTATAGGGTAATTTACTGTGCTGCTGTGTGTTGTGGATGTATCTTTGTGCTAAAAGATAGGAAGGAATTGATTTTCTTGCCAGATCCCAATTCTCTTCAAGGAGTTTCTGTTACCAAGCTTCCAATTTAGAGCTCAGTGGAGTCTCCTCCATTAGAACTTTGGTTCAGACAATGATCTGGGAATGCATGCCCATGAGATTATCATGGCAAGGCCCTCATGGGAGGGGACAGAGTGGGTTGGGTTTTTAAATCCCTGCAGTTTCTATAGACAGGATTCCTGGTCAGGTTTGATGGTTCTATCTGGGAATCAAGATGGGAGGTGTCTAAACATGGGGAGTCTGTTCCTTTGCCTTCCATGTGGGCCCTGAGCCCATCTTTCCTTCCCTGGCTCTCTTGTGGGCAGTGATTCTGGCTCACCACTCAAGCTCACTGCTCAGGCTGGAAACCTGGGCTTGCAGGGACACCTCCTGGTCACAGACCATGCCTCCTGGTCAAGGACCACTCCTCCAGCTCCAGCCAACCGCCTCAGCCTGCAGATTGTTTCTCTTGCTGTGCTTTCAGGACCTCTGAAGCCAACTTTGTTGAAGCTGTTATCTCTTCCCTAGATTTCTTCACGAGTTTTCTTGCCTCTGGGTGTGCTGATCCCAGATCTGCTCTTTCTTGATCTGTGTAGATGCTCATGCTTCATTCTCTGCTGGGAACGTGTTTTCCACCCTCCAACGTCCCCCACTGCCCCTCCCTTTCACCTGATTTAACTCCTGTCTCTCCTCAAAGGCTCATTTAAGGTTTTCAGATAGGTCGCCTTCACTTATCCCTCCAGGCTCGGTTGGATCCCTCCCTGCACATTGCCTGGTTCTGTCTCTTCTTATCTTTCTAATTTATTTTTTAACAATATTTTTATTGGTGCATATAATTATACATAATGGTGGGATTCGTTGTAACATCTTCCTACATGCTCACCACATAATAATATAATTTGGCCAATATCTTTCTCCTCCTTGAGGGCACAGCATCTCTTACTCACCTCTGAATCTGTGGCGCCTGGTTCTGAGATCTTAACTCACTGAAGCCATTCAATAAATGAAGGAATGAAAGAGAACTTGCTTTCCAGTGGAAGCAAGGAATTCCATTGCACTAGCACGATACAACTCCTGCCCAAATGCTTCTGTAAGACCCTCCTTTTGTTTGCCTCGGTTGTGTGTGTACCTCACAGACATTTTTACACTGGTCTTTGTAAAAATCTTCTTGTGTTGATCATGGCAGGAACAAAAGATAGGATTTAACCAGAAGTAAAGGGGCCATGTGACTTTTTAATAGGTTGGGTATATGATATTCCATAGAAATAGAATATTCAGTTGTAGATTATAACAGAGCACCATTGAAGGCTTGTTTCAACATAGTCCAGGTTACGTGGGGTGTGAAGATGAGTGTGAGCAAAGGGGAAAGGTTAAGATGAAGACAGAGCATTGGGGAACCACTTCAAGAGCCAATGTCAGGAACAGGGAGTGTGGAACTAGGACACAGAGGAAGAACAACAGGGACACGTTAGGTGGAACAAACTCAAGCTTAAGAAGGTTTAAAATAAGGACCGAGTGCAAGCTGGAAGGAGCTGGGCATGCACCATGTCTTGGGATGAGTTCAGGCAGGATGCACTACTGGTAGAAGAAAGGACAGGGAGAGAGCATGCAGCTGGGATGCACTTTATAAGGCTGCAGGGCGGTCAAGGCCAAGGACTTAGCAGTGGGCTGAAGGGGATCCTAGGCTGACAGAGCTCAGAGCCCCTGAGGGTTTGCCTCTCCTTCCCTGTAGCTGGAAACTAGGGCAAGAGCCGGAGACCCTAGAAGGTCTAAGAGACTAGATGGTGGACTGATCTGAAGTTGGCTCCATTCTGTAGATATCATCACAGAAGCTGGAGAACTAGAACATGGGGAAGCAAGACAGAGCCGTGGAAGATGATTTGGAAATAAAAAGGTCAAGAAAGGTGCCGTAAGACATGACCTCAGACTAAGCAGTAGCATTTAAGTCAGGGAGCTGTCAGAGCTGAGAACTTCCCCACTCTCCCTTCCAACATTTTGTGTCCTGGTGTCTAGGGCACAGTCCAGGCAGGCAAGGTGGCCTGTGGGCTCTCCCACTTAGGTGGGGCAGGATTCAGCAAAGAGCCACCTCTGGTTAAGAGGCAGAATGGGAGGTCAGGAGTGGTAGGAGCAGGTTAGAACATGACCTAATTGACTTTTTCTCTTTTAACCTTCATTTTGAGATGGTTGTAGATTCACAGGATACAGAAAGGTCCTGTGCACCCTTCAGCCAGGTACCAAGTGACAGCTCAGGGTGTATTTCCACACCCAGGAATTGACATAGGCACAATCCATAGACCCACCCATTTCACCTATATTCATTTATGAACATGTAGTTCTGGGCCGTGTTGTCCCCTGTGGTGATCTGAGTAACCACCACCGCAGTCAAGGCACAACTCTTCATCACCACACGGCGTTACCTTCTCATCCCACCCCTTTACAGTCAGACACACCTCTCTGCCCACCCATTGCTCACCTGTGGCAACTGGTAGGCTGAGTCCTCTACCTGAGTCAAATTTACACAGTTGAGGTTTCTGAAGCGACAGAAATAACCGCCCCCCCCCAAAAAAAGTGAGTCTGTGCAAGCAGACATGAATGCACGATTATTTCAATGGGCTGTGAGCCACTTCTCCTTTCCCTGTAGGTGCAGGCCCTGTTGGGGTGGACTTGCTCCCTGCTGACCCTGTTCACGGTTGTCACTCTGGCATACGTGCTGGACGATCTCTCCGCTGAGACTTGGGTGGCCGCCGCAGTCTACCAGGCCCTCCACCGGACCCTGTGGGCCGCCGCCGTGGGCTGGGTCATCTTTGCATGCCAGGAAGGCTATGGAGGTAGGAGGTGGCCCTGGGCTCTGCTCTGGCGCTCACACAGGGTGGCAAATCTAAACCACAGCGTGTGTACCCAGAGGGGCTTCTCTGTACTGGAGTGGTTGATGAATGGCTCCTACTGACTCAGAAACATCCATTTGTGTATATCCTTGGAGAAAACACCCCACATACTGTTTTAGATTTTATGTTGGTCTGTGTACAAATGTAATTCTGAGGACAAAGTTGTTACTGGAGACAGTAAAGCTAGTTTAGAAGTTGGAAAGAATTCAGGTAGAGAAATGCACTGAGAAAACAGTAACTTAGTGCTAGGAGATAAGACTTCTGGTCAACCCACCCTGAGCCTTTGTCTCTTCCTCTGAGGAGGTAAAGTCAAAGTTTCCAAGACCCCCTTCCATAACCAGGAAACTGCTGCTGTCAAATCAGCTTTTGAGGTGCTGGAGTCAAGCAGATAAAGGTGAAAATGGAAAGAAAAGAATCTCCAGGTTAGAGATCTCTAACATTTTCCTCTCTTTCTTCTCTATTTGGCATGAGATAGGAAGGAAGAGAGGGCATGGGGTCAGCAGATGGCAGGACTTAGGCTGGTAGGCAGTGTCCACAAAAAGTTGCAGCCCTGAACTTTCCAGAATCCCTGAGGATGAAGAGCCAGGGCCAGCAGAGGCACGACAGCTTCACCCTCTGGGAACATCTCTGGGATGAGGTTAGACCCCACCTGGGAACCCAAACCTATCAGCCTCAGCAAAGGGGTCGGAAACATGGTGTGATTCTAACATGGCTGATGGAGCCCAGGATGTGCACCAGGTCCTGTGGAAATGTCACCTCTGGTGCCCCAGGTAACGCTGGTCATGCCCCTAATAGGCACACCTATAATGAGCTCTGTTTCTCTAGGAGAACACAATGCATGAAGTGAAAGCCACACAGCTGGGAAGTGGCCGAGCTAGAAGGAGCACCCAAGGCAGTATAACGTCAAAGGCTGATGCTCTTCGTTTCTGAGCAACATTCCCCCTTTTGGATGTTGATTAGAATAATTCTTGAATTTTTGAGAATTTTAATCTAGTGATCATTTGTTCTGTTATATTCCATTTAGTACTGAGGATTGAAATGAGGGTCTTGCACATGCAAGGCAAGTACTCCACACTGAGCCACATCCTCAGCCCTTTTAATTCTCTATCGAGTCAGGATCTCATTAAGTTGCTGAGGCTGACCTTGAACTTGCAATCCTCCTGCCTCAGCCTCCTCTGTGTGTTGGATTACAGGTGTGCACTGCCATGCCTGGCTATAAGGCACACACACACACACACACACACTTTACAGCACTGGGGCTTGAACCCAAGGCCTCATGCTTGATAGGTAAATGTCTAACACTGAGCCATTTCCCCAGGCCAATGTCCCAATTTTAGAAGCTTTCGCTTAAATATGAAGGTGATATTGAAGAGGAAGAGGGCTGTGTTCTTGCTGACTATTGTGTCTTCATTTATGGTGAACTTCAGACCCCCTGACCACAGCCATAGGTCCTTCCCCATTCTGGGACAATGCCCCCGAGTAGTTCCCAGAACCTCAGAATGTGAGCAGCTACTGCCCCTGGCCCAGCCCTGGCAGTTCACAGTACTGTGGCAAATGTCACGGGATTCCTGTCTGCTGTGTCCTGCTGCTATCAAGAATGACTAGCTGATGCAAATGACCATGAGAGAAGAATGACTTTGCTTGTTAGAAGACTGAACAAATCTGCAGCTATATCATTACAGTGGCGTTAGTGACTTTTCTCAGTCATTAGTGTGAGTAAGGTGACATCTCTCTTCCTCCAGGTGCCAAATGAGCCCTTTTGTTTATTCCCAAGTGATGTATCAAAGGGGGCTGTCACGAGTCAATCCACAGGTACAGGTGTGACTGTTATCCTGGGTTCATGTCTCCAATACTGTTTACAAGATATCAAAATTTGTCAGGCCAGGCACGGTGGCACTTGCCTGTGGCTCGGGAGGCTGAGGCAGGAGGATTACAAGTTCAAAACCAGCCTCAGGAATAGCAAGGTGTTAACCAATTCAGTGAGACCCTGTCTCTTAATAAAATACAAAATAGGGCTGGGGATGTGGCTCAGTGGTTGAGTGCCCCTGAGTTCAATCCCTACTACCAGGAAAAAAAAAATATTGATCAGTAAGTGAATGCAGGAGATCTAAGTGTTCAGATAAGTTTTGAGAAAATGTATATTCCTGATGACCTTTAGAAAAAGGTGACATTTCAAGAAGTGTCTAATTGAGACTCTCAGGATGAAGGAGGATCTATAGGTTCAAATGATCGTTCCAATCATTTTTAGTTGTACCAACATAGACCATGCAGATCCCGTTAGCCTCTAAGTTGTCCCCTTAGACAACCATTCATCTCCTGACCATGTTACTCCTTTGGCTGAAATCCTGTCACTTTTAGCTGTGGCCCCTGAACTTATGTTTGGACTCATTCTAAAGGGCTAAAAATTCTTTGGATCTTTCATGTTGGCCTCAATTATTTTTCTCCTAACTTTACTTAAATACAAACAAACATAAATCTGGATACAAGTTCTTATAGCACATACATTTATAAAGCCCCCCCAAATTTATAAAATGACCATAAAACTACAAAACCAATAAAATCTGCATTAGCTCCATTAACAAAGTGATGACAATTTGCTGGTGTCCGTTGTGGCTCACCACTGTGTGTGGGATTCTTGGCTTCGCAGGGCCTTCTTGTGTGCTTGGCATACCTGTCTGAGATTAGGCTCTTTGATGACTTAATTTTCCTCCAACTGTTTTTTGTTTTGTTGCCTGGTGATATCTTGGATCACCTTAATTTGGATTCTGCTCAGAGCAAATACATCTTTTATCTCTGAATCCATCTTGTTTTTTTATTCACTTAATTACAAAAAGTACTTTTGTATACTTGTTTTTATGCCAAGTGATGTTCTAGATGCTGGGGATATAGCAACAGGGAAGGAAAAAACCCAATGGGGTGGGGGTAGTGGGGAGCCTAGAGACTCCGTAGGCTGAATAAGGGCCCCCAAAGAACTCAGAGAGGGGCTTGTGGCTTCGAGGCAGTGTGTGTCCCCTCCAGGTCTGGTGAAAAGGGTGCTTTCTTGTGACATCTGGAGTTTCCTGGCCGGCATCAGTTACGCTTGCTACCTGGTGCACCCGGTTCTGATCATCCTGCACAATGCACTTCAGGAGACTCTTATCCACTACACTGATTCCAACATGGTGAGTTAGCCCCAGCCCCCAGTCCCCAGTTCTGTCACAGAACCACAGTTGTTTTTTTTTTTTTTTTTCTCTGCAGTGACACAGCAAAGTGTCGGCTTTGTGAGAAGCCTGTTTGGTTTTCCAAAGAGATTGATTGTTCTGTTTTACTTGGGGAGAAAGAGGAAGGGCTTTATACAGGGTGACATCTTTATTTTAGTTTTTAATGTCTGGGACTGTCTGTTCTACAGAGCCATTTCATATAACCAGAATGACACATTCTAAGATCCAAACATGAGGGAATTGGAGAGTAAAAGTGCATCCGCTGTACCCCTTTCCCTTACAGTTCTATCTTTTCACTGGACACTGTGTGCTGACCTTCGTCTCTGGGCTGGCCCTGACGCTGTTCATTGAGAGGCCGTGGCAGGAACTGAAGTGGACCCTGTGTGGCCGGGTGCCTGCAGAGCCATGAACACTCTAACTAAAACCCAGAAGAGTGGATGGCCCTTTGTTGGTGGTGACAAGCAGAGGCCCTGGTGTCCTCATTAAGCAAAGGATGCTTGTGTTCCTGAGAAGAGCTGTGAATCTTGTTTCGTGAACATTTAATACATACAAGTTCTCTGTGTTTAAAATAAAAGAGTGTTCTATGATAATTTTTGTAGGAGCACAATAATCGCCCTCGGCTGAATCATTTTAACAAAAATCTGGATTTCTTTTTTTGGGTCTTGGCTTGCATTTGATTTTTCTTGTATCAATGATCATAGTGTAAAATTAAAATGGAGCCAGGCTTGGAGGGTCCAGAGTAGACAAAGCCAGTTAACCTTCCTAAGTGACCTTGAACCTTGCTGGATTGGCAGATGTAAGCAAAACTTAACTTGAGCTATTTCTTGTAAATATTTATAATAAAGAAAAACAGAACTTAATCAACCCGGAGCAGCCAATGAACTTATATAACCAGGGACTTTCCAATGCCAGAGACTAAATAAGGCAGCTCTGTAACTGTCACCAATCACATGTTGTGTTTGCTTCCCTCCTGCGCCTGTCCCCCTCGCACTCCCTCCTCGGGAGCTCCTGGACCACTTGTGCCTTGGGGCTGCTTGATTCGTGATTGTTATTTGCTCAAATGGCTCTAAAATGTGATCGTGCTTCAATTTTCTTTTTTACAATAGAAAATGATCCAATGTAGTGAATTTATTGTAATTTGGCTTATGAGGTTCACTTGGGCTCTGATGCGTGCTCTTCTCAGTAAAATCACATGTAGCTTTCCACACCATGATCATTTGTGTGTTGTTATGACTCTTTGTGGTCTTTACTCTGGGACCTCTGGGTGGCATGACCCATGAGCACACATGATTCGTGGGGTTTCTGATCACTTTCTTCTTGAACATGATCTTTTCTACAACATGGTTCCTGTCGTGGATTGAATTATGTCCTTCCAAAAAGATATGCCTAAGTCCTAATCCCTAGTTCCTCAGCATGTGTCCTTATTTGGAGATCATCTTTACAGGGGTAATTAAGTTTAAATGAGGCTGCTGAGCTGGAAGACTAATCTAACCTAGTGGTGTCCTTATAAAAAGAGGAAATTTGGACCCAGAGACAGACACACACAGAGAGGGAGGACAATGTAAGACACACAGGGAGAAGATGACTGTGTACAAGCCAAGGAACGCCAAGCATGCTGGTGAACACCAGGGAAGAGGCAGGATGGGCCGTCCCTAGAGCTGTCAGGGAATGTGGCCCTGTTGGTACCTTGCTTTCTAACTTGTAACCCTTACAACTGTGAAGGAAGGATATGTTTCTGTGGTCTTAAGTCACCTAGTTTGTGGTGCTCCGTGATAACCACTCTAGGACTCATAAGGCCGGAGGACCAGGCTCTCGGCCTTGGGTTTTTAGCTTCACCTCAACTATCTACACTTATGAATATCTCTTTCTTTTGGTGGTGCTGGAGATTGAACCCAGGGCCTTGCACATGCTAAGGTAGCATTCCACCATTGAACTACATCCTTATTACAGATGTTTAACATTGCTGAGAATACAGCTCTCGGTTTACTTAGTAATCAAAGTACATATTAATAGTCATGGAGCTACCAGGTGCTCCTGTACATGGGATGGGCCACTGCTATGCACTTTGCTGTCAAGTAGATTGAAGAGAAAGGCCACTGCTGTGTGGGGAGGTCTGGAAACTTCAAATCCTCCGACAAGGCAATTGACAGCTACCTTGGCCTTTTCCAGGCTGCAGAGGGAATGAGCACCACATTTCCCTGAGAGCTGGTCTTTGGCTGCTGAAATCTGACCTGAAGGAGGGAGGATCAATCTTCACTTGGCGTCTTCTATCTCTTCTGTCTAAAATAAAGCAGCCACTTTGGGTTTAAGATGATGGTGAAGTTCATTGAGTTCCTTGGGCGCCCCCTGGTGGCTCCACGGGCACCTGAGCCCTCTAACTTAATTAGACCTCAGAGGAGTTCTAAGGGCCAGTGGCACTGACCAGGTAACCTGGCAACGTGGGTGGACTCCAGGGGGAAATGACTCACCTGCCAACTTTGTTCTTTGGCCAAATTGCTAAATGCTTCTAGTTATGAGGCTGGAAACCTGGGGCCTGGGGAAATGATTTTCCATTGACAGCCTTGCAATGATTTTTTTTTTTTTTTAATAAGGAAGGAAAAAAAAAAAAAAAAAAACCACCTTCCCTCCTATTGTGGTTATGTAAACCTTGGTGTTAGAGAAGTGTAATTCTGTTCTTTCAACCAGAATTCCCTGGAGGTTTAAAATTTATAGAACTGTGGACCTTATTTGGATGCTGAAATAAATTTTTTATTGTAAAAGGCATGTGACATTTATCAGACAATTGGAATTTGAACACTGATCAAATACCTAATTATATTTGATGATATTAAGGACTTATCAAATGTTTCATGCAGTAATAGTATTATGGTCATATATATTTTAAGTTCCTAATTTTTTGTATGCATATTTAAATAATTATGAACAAAATGATACAAAATAATTTTGGGAGAAACTGGCAGAAATGAATACTGAGGTGGGTAATTGTTTTATTGCTGCAGTACTAGGGGTGGAATCCATGCATGCTGAGGAAGTGCTCTACCACTGACCTACCTTCACAGTTCCTTTTAATTAAAAAAAAAATATTTTTTAGTTGTAGTTGACACAATACCTTTATTTATCTATCAATATCTATCTATCTATTTATTTATTTATACATGATGCTGAGGATCAAACCCAGGGCCTCTCACGTGCTAGGCGAGTGCTCTACCTCTGAGCCACAATTTTTTTAAAATCTAAAAAATAACTCATTTTGAGCTGCACAAGTTGGCCTCAAACTCGAGATCTTCCTGCCTCAGCTTCCTGAGTAGCTGGTGTGTTCCACCACCCCTGCCTCATGTGGTTAATTTTTGAAGCTGGGTGGGTGATGGGTACATAGTACCTCATTAGACAATTTTCTCCATTTTTGTATGTGTTTGAAATTCATATAATGACAGAGGGGAAAAATCTACCAAAATAACATTTTCAGAGCAGAATAGGTATAAATTGATAGGTGCCTCCTCCAATTCTTCTAAATTCTGACACCCATGTTTTATCCCCAAGAACTAGCCTGTGGAGACAAATAGACCAGGGGTGGGCAACGCGTCAACACCTGCTGATGTCCCCATGCCTCTCTCCCAAGCCTTCACATGGGCTGAGCTGGCGGGTGCTCCCACCACGGTGTGCATTCAGAGCACAAATGCCACAAGTAGTAGAGCACCCTCTGCCCCTACTCATGCCCTGTGTGCCTCCTCAGCCAGGCCTTAGAGCAGCACTGGTTAGGGTTAGGGTTAAAGTTAGGGTTAGGGTTAGCATCTTGACGAAAATTGCTCTTATAGTTTTCAGCCATCCTGACACAGGCCCATCTCCCCTGGGTGCAGCGGGAGTCTAGATTCTGGGGTGGAGGGTGGTCAGGCGGTCTGGGTGATGATCGCTTTCTCTCCCCCATTTTCCTGTTCACCGCTGTGTCTGTACCCCTTAGCGCCCCAACGAGCTCACGGTCAGTGCTAAATAGACATTAGCTGACAAAGTGATGGAGGCCACCCTTCCTTCCTTCCCATGAGTCTAATCCAGGAAGCTTCTCATCAGATAGGCAAGCCCCTCTCAGCCAGGTCTTAGATATGATCCATTTTATAAGAATCATCCCCCCAATGCCCACCTGGTCCCCCTGTCAGTAATGTTCAAAGTTGGGAGGTCAAAGGGCACCTGGAAGGGTGGGAAGCCTTTACAGCTTTATTCCCTCGACCCCAAATAGAATATAAGTCAATGAGACACAAGGACACGTGCCCTGGGGACTTCTGGGAAAGATGGTCTTGCTTGGCTGAAGGGAAGGAGTAGACATCAGGGTGAGTCCTCGTCCTTGCCACCCTCAGTCTTGTCAGACCAGGTATCTAGACTTGCAGTAGCATCTTATAATCATGAGGGTGGGCAAGGCTGATGCGCTGAGGCCAACAGAGCAGGACTCTGGACAGAGGCTGCCAGGCACAAGGGAGGATGTGGGCACTGCACTGAAATCTCAAGAAGGAAGGGACTGTATGGATACCCCGTCCTGCAGGCTGCCAGAACCCTGGCTGGACAGGCCTTGGCTCCTCAGGCAGGAGGCTGGAAGTTTCTCCAGGGAGGTCTAGCCCAAGATGAAAGCCCAACATATTAACCTAAGAGGCTGTTCCAAAAACGTTCCAGCCACACCCTCTCCAGTGGAGCTGAAAGTGGACTAGCTCAAACCGTGGACGCTGAGAAGGGGGATTGATGCAGCCTGATTTTCCTAGAACCTTCTTGGTTTTAACACTGAGCCTTTCCTATTCTGGGACCCCTCTATGCTGGACAGACAGGGAGGCTGCTGACCCTAAGAAAGCTTCGCCTCCTTTTCAGTGGCTCACTCTTGATCATGAGAAGGACAGCCAAGGGTGACCACAAACCTGAGAACAGCTCTGACATCTGGAAGGGTGAGTGTAAGAGGGATTTGCAGAGAAGCGATCATGTAGGAAGGAGAGAAATCAACAAAACCATCGTTCTGTCAGGGAGGAAGGAGAAGACATTACTTCCAATAACACAGAAGCAGATGCCAAGGCAAGAAGTGATCTTTTTCCTTCAGTCATTCATTCAGTCCAAGCCAAATATTTCTGAAAGCCACCTAGTTGTAAGACATCAGGAATATTAATAGGTGTTGGGAATCCTGTCTTGAAGGATCTTCAAATCTATTTGGGTGACCTGAGCAGGAGAAAAGGACTCGAAGTGTGTGTGTGTGTGTGTGTGTGTGTGTGTGGTGCTGGGGATTGAACCCAGGGCCTTGTACTTGTGAGGCAAGCACTCTACCAACTGAGCTATATCCCCAGCCCGGAAGTGTGTTTTTGCTCTGGATGGACAAAGCACCGGTCATTTCAGCACATTCTGCAGTATAGACAGATGCACTGACTCCCCACATTTCCAATGTGGATTGAGTTTAGAGGATGCGTTGCTTACAAGGAGGAATGCGTTCATCTCAAGTAACAACCAATTGTTTGTAGCATTTCTTTTTCCATAACTTATACATTAATTGATGTCTAATTCTGTACCTCCTGTTCCTACCATTGTCAGTAGATATTTTTGATTTTTATTAACACATAACTCACATACAATGAAATTCGCCTTTAAGAAAGTGTACTGTCTGTGAGTTTTAACAAACTCTATGCCACCACAGCAAATATACAATGGTCCCCTCATCCGTGAAAATTCTCTGGGCCCCTTTATAGTTAAGCCGACCCTCCTCCTTAGCTGTTGGCAACCACCTGTTTTCAATCCCTGTAGTTTTGCTTCTTCCAGACATAGTTATTGTTCAGTACATAAAATATTTCAGACATTCAAATAAGTCTAGAGAATGACATAATTGATACCTCACATCCCTGTCATCCTAATTAAATACAGGTTAGCATACCACTGTGTTTCCTCTCCAAGCATTTTTTTGTTTTAAAAATAAAATATCATAAACACAGTTGTAGAACCCCTGCATGCCATTTCTTTCCTCCCTTTTATCCAAGTTTCATCCATGTTCTGAATTTTTTTTAACAACATGCATTTGTTTACAAATGGTATGTAGCACTCTTTGCTTTTAAGCTCTGTGTAATTGATCCATGCTGGATCGTCCTTTCAAAAATGTGTTTTTTTCCCCATTAAACAGGGTTCATAGAGCCAGTCCATTAATTTTTAATGCT